GTACGGGAGCAGCAGCGTGTGGCGGTACTGCACAGAAGTGTTTGATTATTTAGCGTTAGCAGCAATTATCGACGACCAGCTCTTTGCTCTTCACGGAGGGCTGTCTCCTGCTATCTCGAGTATTGATGAAGTCAGCCATTTGCTGTCTCTTTACCTCTCTTTGCCTCTCTTTAGCTGTCTCTTTACCTCTCTTTAGCTGTCTCTTTATCTGTCTCTTTATCTGTCTCTTTAGCTGTCTCTTTAGCTGTCTCCTTATCTGTCTCTTTATCTGTCTCTTTATCTATCTGTCTCTTTATCTGTCTCTTCACCTCTCTTTAGCTGTCTCTTTATCTGTCTCCTTATCCGTCTCTTTATCTGTCTCCTTATCTGTCTCTTTAGCTGTCTCTTTAGCTGTCTCTTGATGTCTCTGTGTCTCTCTGTATCTCTGTTTCTCTGTTTCTGTCTGTATCTCTGTCTCTCTTTAGATATATATATATTTATATATTTATATATTTATATATTTATATATTTATATATTTATATATTTATATATTTATATATTTATCTGTCTCTCTCTCTGTCTTTCTTTTTGCTGTCTCCTTTTTTAAATATTTTTTGCTGTCTCCTCTTCCTTCTGTTGGGGTGACGCATTTTATTTGTCTCCTTTTCTTTATCTTTATCTTTTTTTATTTTATTATTTTCATTGTCTCTCTCTCTAATTATCTGTCTCCTTTTGTCTCCGTCTTCTTCGTCCCTAAACCCTAAAACCCTAAACCCTAAACATGCTGCTTCGTGAGTGGGCCCTTTGTCTTATCTTCGGTTTTTGACTGGAGCGAGGGTTTAGGGTTTAGGGTTTAGGGTTTAGGGTTTGTGGCTGTGCAGATCCGCTCTATCGATAGAAAACAGGAAGTCCCTCATGAAGGCCCCATGTGCGACCTCCTCTGGAGTGACCCTGAGGGCAAGCCAAACCCTAAACCCTAAACCCTAAACCCTAAACCCTACTTCTAAAACCCTAAACCCTTGCAGAGCTTTTCACAATTTAGCTACGGCCCCATAAACTCAAAAGGGAAACCACAACCTCCTCCAGGCGTAGGCCTTAGGGTTTAGGGTTTAGGGTTTAGGGTTTAGGGTTTAGGGTTTCTGTGGAGCAGAGATGAAGGGGTGGGGATACAGCCCACGCGGTGCCGGTTATCTCTTTGGTTCGGACATAGTTAAGACAGTGAGAAAACCCTAAACCCTAAACCCTAACCCTAAATTCTAACCCTAAACCCTAACTCTAAACACTAAACCCCTACACCCTCGGCCTAAACCCCAACCCGAAGCCTCAACCCTAAACCCTTGCGGTTATTCCTGTCTTCTGCACAGCTTCATTAAGGGTTTAGGGCTTAGGGTTTAGGGTTTAGGGTTTAGGGTTTGTGGGTGCGCAGTTCTGTCATACAAACAACGTGGAGATTATCGCCAGGGCCCATCAACTTGTGATGGACGTACGTTGCTCTAGGGTTTAAGGTTTAGGGTTTAGGGTTTAGGGGTTAGGGCTTTAGTTTCCTTCTTCTGTTGTGTTTAGTCTGCCTCCTTTCTGTACGTTACTCTAGGGTTTAGGGTTTAGGGTTTAGGGTTTTCGCTTTCTTTTTATGTTGGTGTGTTTAGTCTGTCTCTTTTGTGTTGTTTGTCTCCTTCTGTTTGTTCTTTTGTCTCCTTTTATTTTTTGCTGATTCTTCTGTCTCCTTTTGCTTCTTTGTCTCCTTTTGTGTCTCCTTGCATGCGCAGTCCTCTGCTTATTGTCTCTGTCTCTCTTCTTTTTTCTTGTTTTGTTTGTCTCTGTCTTTGTTTTTATTTGTCTGTCTCCTTTTGTGTGTCTCTGCTGTCCCTCTCTATTTATCTTCGTATTATTTCTTTTTGTCTCCTTTTGTTTTATCTGTCTCCTCCTTTGTCTCTGTCTCTGTCTGTCTCTCTCTCTTTGCTGTCTCTCTCTCTCTTTTCTGTCTTTGTTTGTTTGTCTCTTTGTCTGTCTCCTTCTGTCTCTCTTTTTCTTTTACTGTCTCTCTCTCTCTATTTCTTTTTTTGTCTGTCTCTCTGTCTCTGTCTGTCTCTCTTTCTATTTCTTTTCTTTTGTCTGTCTCTCTTTGTCTCTCCCCGCCTCTGTCTCTCTCTTCTGTCTCTCTCTTCTGTCTCTCTGTCTTTGTTGTTTGTCTCTGTCTTCTTCTGTCTCCCTGTCTCTCTGTCTCTCTTTGTCTGTCTTCATTCGTCTGTCTCCGTCTCTGTCTCTCTGTCTCTCTTTTTATGTCTCCTTCTGTTTGTCTCTCTTTGTTTTTCTTTATCTGTTGTTTGTCTCTCTTCACCTCTTTATCTGTTTATCTTTTTATATCTTTATTTCTTTGTCTCTTTGTCTCTTTATTTCTTTGTTGCTGTCTCTGTCTTGTTTATTTGTCTCTTGCGGGTTTGTCTCCTAGTACCTGTTCCCTACTTTGCTTGTGATTAGGGTTTAGGGTTTAGGGTTTAGGGTTTTGTGGTGCATATGCAGGGGTACAAGTGGTGGTTTGATAAGAGACTCGTCACTGTCTGGTCTGCCCCCAACTACTGCTACAGGTAAACAAACCCTAAACCCTAAACCCTTGGCTGAGATTCTTTGTGCTAAACCCTAAACCCTAGCTAACCCTAAACCCTAGCCCATTCCCCTAAACGGCAAACCCTAACCCCCAACGCCCACCTCTAGATACACTCCAAACCCTAAACCCTAAACCCTAATGCTAAACCCTCGCTGCAGGTGCGGCAATGTGGCCACGGTGATGGAGCTCGACGAGCACTTAAACTACCAGTTCAAAACATTTGAGGCAGCGCCCCCTGTGGGTCCTAAACCCTAAACCCTAAACCCTAAACCCTCGCGGAGCTGTAGCTGAAGCAGGTTTTTTCCCTTTACTTCACTTGCGAGCAGAGGCTCGCCTGCGGCCTCCTTAAGGTCTAGGGTTTCTCTCTAGGGTTTAGGGTTTAGGGTTTGTGTCTGCGCAGGAGCGACGCGGCATCCCCTCAAAGAAGCCGCCCCCAGATTATTTCTTGTGATATCTGGAGACGCTTGGGGCCCCATTTGTGTATACTATAAACCCTTTTGATAGCGAAAGTATATCTATAAATATAAATAAAACATTTTGGGGTCCCTGTGGGTATACAATTAAAACCCTCGGGGGCCCTGTGGGGCCCCCGGGTCTCGTGAAGGCTTTTCAGGGGTCTGTAAGTCCTCTTCAAGCCTCTTACGGGTCCCCTTCGTTATGGGGGGCCCCCGTACCCTTCTGGGGGCCCCTGTACCCTTTTGGGGGGCCCCCATGGCCTTTTGGGGGCCCCTGTACCCTTTTGGGGGGCTCATGCCCTTTTGGGTCCCCTGTACCCTTTTGGGGGAGGCCCATGCCCTTTTGGGGGCCCCTATATCCTCTTGGGGGCCCCTATACCTTCTTGGGGGCCCCCATACCCTTTTGGGTGCCCCTGTACCCTTGGGGGCCCCCATGCCCTTTTGGGGGCCCCCATACCCTTTTGGGGGCCCCTGTACCCTTTTGGGTCCTTTGTGGGCGTTTTGGGGTCCTTTTGGGGTCTTTGGGGGCCCCTAGGGGTTTAGAAGAGGGACAGGGGCCCCCTCTTCTAGTGTTTCCTCAGGCAGTTTTAGGGCCTCGCTGGCTGCTGCTGCGCGCAGCTGGGGGCCCTATGAGCCTTCTGCTGCTGCTGTTGCTGTTGCTGTTGCTGCTTAGAAGAGGCACAACACATTGCAAGCAGCAGCAGAAGTTGCAGCAGATAGCCCCACAGCGACAAGACAAGGACCTCATGTCTCCGTTTAGAGACAGCTGTCCCTCCTTTGCTGCTGGGGGGTGGCGGTCTCATGGGGCTGGGATCGTCTCCTTTGCTGGGATCGTCTCCCTTGGAGACGATCCCAGCAAAGGAGACGATCCCAGGAGGCGATCCCTCCCCCCCCAACAGACTCCTCTTCGCATTACGGCTCTGCTACCGTTCCCCTTTCAGTAACTAAAACATTGCTGCTGCAGTCTTGCTTCAGCAGCAGCTGCTGCTGCTGCTGCAGCTGCAGCTGAATTGGTTAGAATATGCGTAGCAGTTTTCTTCGGAGGAGCATTTGCTGCTACACCGTGTTCGCTGGTGGTGCTTCCGTTTGCTGCTGCTGCTGTTGTTGCTGTTGCTGCTCCTGCTGTTCTTCTTCTCCCTGGAGCACCTGCTGCTGCTGCAGCGGCTGCTGCTGCTGCTGCTGCAGCGGCTGCTGCAGCTGCAGAGCTCTAGCCTGTGCGACTTGCTGCCTAAGAGCTCGAAACCTTTCTGCGAGTTGGTGCATAAGGCCTCTGCTGGGTTTAATATCCGCAGATCTTCTCTTAAATGTCTGCAGCAAATCTGCACGCTGCAAGGCCCCTATTACAGAGCGCCCACGAGAAAGGAAGCGACGAGTTAGCAGACTCGTCCGAGACAATGAGGGGGCCCCCTTACCCTCTTCAGGGGCCCCCTTTCCCTCTTCGGGGGCCCCCCCACCCTCTTTGGGGCCCCCCGGTCCCTCTTGGGGGCCCCCCGGTCCCTCTTGGGGGCCCCCCAGTCCCTCTTGGGGGGCCACCTGTCCCTCTTGGGGGGCCCCACTGGACTCTAGGGGGCCCCCACCTGCTGCGGGGGGCCCCCGAACCAACCCTGGGGGGCCCCCAAGGCCCTCTTGGGGGCCCCTACCTGCTCTGGGGGGGCCCCAAACGAACCCTGGGGGGCCCCCAGCTGCTGCAGCGGGGCCCTGAGGTGCTTCGGGGGCCCCAGCGGAAGGGGCCTCAACGCTTGAAGGAGGGCCCCTCTGCTGGCTGGCGGGCTGCTGCAGAGGCTGCTGCGCTGCTGCTGCTGCTGCTGCTGCTGCTGCTGCTGGTGATGGTGCTGGTGCAGCAGCAGCTGCTGTCTCCTTTTCTATTTGAGGAACGCCTGCTTCTGTCTCCTCCTCTTCTGCTGAGGCCCCTGCTGCTATGTCATCTTCTGCTGCTGAGGCCCCTGCTTCCATCTCATCTTCTGCTGCTGATGCCCCTGCTGCTGTCTCCTCGTCTGCTGCTGAGGCCCCTGCTGCTGTCTCCTCGTCTGCTGCTGAGGTCCCTGCTGCGGTGGGGACTCCTGGGGGCCCCTGCTGCGTAGCAGTCTGGGGGCCCCCCTCTGGCTTGAGTTGGGGGGCCCCCTGTTGTGCTGCTGCTTCTGTTGCTTCTGTTGCAGCAGACTCTGTCTCTATCCCTGTTGTCTCTTCCTGCTCGCCTTGAGGTATTTCCTCAGCCTTCTCTTCCTGTGTCTCCTCTGCTGCTTCTGGTGCTGCTTCTGCTGCTGCTGCTGCTTCTGCTGGGCCCTCAGGAGTCGCTGTCTCCTCTGCTGTAGCTGCGATCTCTTTGAGGTCTTCTGTCTCTGTCCCCTCTCCACTTATCTCTGCTTCAGTCTGTGGTGTCCCTGCAGCAGTGCTGTTCTGCATTTGTTTCTGTTCTTGCTGCTGCTGCTGCTGCTGCTGCTGCTGCTGCTGCTGCTGCTGCTGTTCTTGTGGTGTAAGGGTCTGCTCTATGTCTCCTCCTTCTGTCTCTGTCTCTGCCTCTGCCTCCATCTCCGGGGTGTCTCCTTTCATCTGACCTTCTGCTGCTTGCTGCAGCAAACTCAACCCGTGCTGCAGCTGCTGCTGCTCATGTAGGGGGGCCCCAGGGTACAGCGCTGTCTCTAAGGAAGGAGACAGTCTCCGCAGAGCAGCAGCAGGGGCCCCCAGAGAGGAGACAGCAACAAGAAGGAGAGCAGGGGCCCTCATTGTCTCTTTCTAAAGACACACGTGCATATGCAGTCTACAAAGAACCACCTTAACTGCTGCTGCTGCTGCTGCTGCTGCTGCTGCTGCTGTTTGTGCTGCTGCTGCTGCTGCTGCAGCAGAATAGAAGCAAGAAGAAAATACAAAAGAATAAGAAGAAGCAGCAGAAGAAGAAGAAGAAGAAGCAGAAGGGGACTCCAATGGAGACCTTAAAAGGAGACACTTCGTCCCCTTAGGCCCGTTGACAGTCGGCGGCTATCTGCTGCTGCTGCTGCTGCTGCTGCTGCAGCAAGGATAAATAGAAGGAGACAGTAAGAAAATAAACAAAGTAAAAAACAAAACGTCAATAATACAATATCAAACAACACTCCACAACACCCTGCTGCTGCTGCAACAGCTGCTGCTGCTGCTGCTGCTGCAGCAACAGCAGCAGCAGCAGCAACAGAGGCCGCTGGACACAGCCAACAGACCAACGGCTACCTGCAGCAGGAAGATGAGAGAAGTGCTGCTCTCTTCTTTTGTTTATTTTTTAATTAATAAATAATATTAATTGCCTTTATTTTTATAATAATAAATAAAATAAAACAAATAATATTTTTACCTCTAACCCACACTGCAGCAGCAGCAGACCTTGACGCAGCAACTGCTGCCGAGACACAGCAGCAGCAGCAGCAGCACCAGCAGCAGCACCAGCAGCCCGAGCAGTAGCAGCAGCAGCAGCAGCAGCAGCAGCAGCAGCAGCAACAGCAGCAGCTGCTGCTAAGCTGCTAGGCGTATAGTTTGGCTAATTGTGGTTTGTTATGTCTTCAGGTGTATCTTCACATTAAACTTTTGCTGTTTTTAATTTATTTTTGTTTTGTTTGCTCTCTCCGTCGCCAGAGTATCTTGTTAAAAGAACAAAGAAAAGCAAAAGGAGACAGAAAGGAGACAGTAAAGAGACAGGAGGAGACAGTAGAGAGACTGTAAAGGGACAGTAAAGAGACAGCGAAGAGACAGTAAGGAGACAGTAAAGAGACAACGAAGGGACAGTAGAGAGGCAATAAAGAGACAGAAAGGAGACAGAAAGGAGACAGTAAAGAGACAGTAAAGAGACAGTAAAGAGACAGTAAAGAGACAGTAAAGAGACAGTAGAGTGACAGTAAAGAGACAGTAAGGAGACACTTTCTGTCTCCTTCTCTGGAGCCGTGAATGCATCCGTATAGCAGCAAACGCTGCAGACAAATAGACAAAAGAGACACATCAAGGTGAAGCACTGCTGCAGCTAACTGCTCTTAGCTGCAGCTAGCTGCTCCTAGCTGCAACTAGCTCTAGCTAGCTGCAGCTAGCTCTAGATAGCTGCAGCTAGCTGCTGCTAACGGCGGCTAGCTGCTGCTGGGATCGTCGGTCGTTCAAAGAAAAAGAGCAGCAAGAAGGAGACGCTTCGTCTCCCTTCAATCCCCACCAATCATTATGCACCCTACAGTTGAGGCAGCTAGCTGTAGCTAGCTGTAGCTAGCTGTAGCTAGCTGAAGCAAACTGCAGCTAGCTGCAGCTGAGGCGGGGTGAAGACTTCATTGGGGGTTTAGGGCCCTGAAAGCGAAGCAGTAGCATCTGCTGCAGCAGCTGCTGCTGCGACTGCAGCACGTGCTGCTGCTAAAGAAACTGCAGCAGCACGTGCTGCTGCTGAGGAGGGAGCAGAGACAGGAGAGACTCGTTAGTGTCTCCTTTGGCCGGAGACATTCTTTTGCATTCACATATAAGCAGATAAACCCTAAACCCTAAACCCTAGAAGCGGCCCCCTAAACCCTTAAAACAGCCCCCGAAACCCTAAACCCTAAACCTTAGACCTTAAACCCTAAACCGTCAGCAAGTGCTACGCCGCACAGGTTTAGGTTTGGTGGTTTGGATGCGAAAGACATACAGCGGCAGCAGCAGCAGCATCGGCAGCAGCAGCAGCAGCAGCAGCAGCAGCAGCAGCAGCAACAGCAACAACAGCCTTGAGTCCCCGAAGTGTCCGCCCAAGTGGGCAACCCCACAGGCACTGGCTGGCGCTGTAGCTAGCTGTAGCTAGCTGTAGCTAGCTGTAGCTAGCCAGGGCCTTTTAAGGCAGGAGCAGCTTCGCCCTGGAGGCAGCAGAAGCAGCAGAAGAAGCAGGAGCAGCAGCAGCAGCAGGAATAGCGTCAGCAGCGGCAGCAGCAGAACCCGCAGCAGCAGCAGCCAAAGGAAGCAAGATATGCATCTCCACACAAGGAAGCCTCCCTCTCCGTACACCTCAATCTGCTGCTGTGCTCTGGAGCCCCTAGCTAGCTAGCTAGCTAGCTAGCTAGCTCCTCCTGTGTGAAGGTAATAAAGAGTATATGCATTTTTTGTTATATACAGCCTGCTGATTTGAAGGAGGAGACAGAAGAAAGAAAATAATTATTAATGATGCGCGTGCAAGCAGGAGCAGGGACTCTCGTCTTATGTTTATATTTGCTGCAGGGTGCTGCTGCGTTGCTGCAGCTGCTGCAGCAGCAGGGAGTGCTGCTGCAGCAGCTGTTGTCTCTACTGTCTCCTCCTCGAAGGGAAGCAAACAAAAACAACAAACTTAAATAAAGAAAGAGACAAACTGCAGGTGCATATACACACCAACACAGATGTCTCCTTCTGCTGTGTCTCTGTCTCTGTCTCTGCTTATCTCTCTGTCTCTCTTTCTCTCTCTCTCTCTTTGTCTCTCTCTTTGCCTCCTTCTCTGTCTCTGTCTCTGCTTATCTCTCTGTCTTATCTCTGTCTCTTTCTCTGTCTCCTCCTTTGTCTCTGTCTCTGTCTCTGTCTCTGTCTCTCTGTCTCTCTTTCTTTGCCTCTGTCTCTGTGTCTCCTTTTGTCTTTGTCTGTCTCTCTCTCTCTGTCTCTCTTTCTCTGTCTCTGTCTCTGTCTCCGTCTCTCTGTCTCTGTCTCTGTGTCTCCTATGTCTGCCTCTGTCTCCTTTTATTTGTCTCTCTTTCTTTGTTTGTCTCTGTCTCTTTACTTGTCTCTGTCTTTGTTTGCTTCATCTTTTGTTGTTTGTTTTCAGCCTGTACACCTCAAAAAGCTGTCTCCAAAGACACACTAACAAACACACAAACTAACAGCAAAAGCAGCAGCGGCAGCAGCAGCAGCAGCAGTAGCATCGGTGCTGGGGGAGTGAGTGGGGTGTACGTACAGCTTAAACCTGCAAGGCCCCCAGAAGCAGCAGCAGCAGCAGCAGATAACTACAAATAAATAAAAATAAAAATAAAAATATTTCTTTTGATGCTAAACAAACCCCTATCTAACAGGGGCCCCTGGGGGCCCCCCAGGGGCCCCCCGGCTGGAGCTCCGATTGGCATCGCTGAGCGAGTTGCTGCTGCTGCTGCTGCTGCTGCTGCTGCTGCTGCAGTTGCTGCACAGAGGTTAAATGCTGCGTCTTCTTTGATTTTTTTGCTTTAATAAACATCAAATTATATAAATAAAACAGCAAGACATTTAAAAGAAGAAAAGAAGAAAAACTTTTTCTTTAATGCACACCGTTAGTCTTCACTCACCAGAGTATCAAAAGCCGCAGCGTTCAGGTGTATAGGCAGCTCCAATGCCTGGGGTACTATCGAAATCTGATGATGGTGGGGGCCCCCCAGGGGCCCCCCAGGGGCCCCAGGGGGCCCCCCAAGGGGCCCCCCAGGGGCCCATATCTTCTCCTTTTCCTTCGCTTATGTCTCCAAAGGAAGGTGAAGATGCGCTGTCTTTCTTCTGGCGTGTTGCTGTACAAGGTCCTACACGAAGACGGTTGCTTGTGGGGTCTCTTTCATTGCTGGTCTGTTCAGCATGCAACATCGCTACACCTTATCTCTTAGGGCTTTGTGTAGATGCCGCACACACAGGGGGCCCCTTGGGGGGCCCCCTTGGGGGCCCCCTTGGGGAGACCCTAGGGGGCCCCCTGGGGGGCCTACTTGCGGGGCCCCTGGGGGGCCCCCTGGCTGTGGGGCCCCTGGGGGGCCCCCACGGCAAACAGCTGGCGGTTGCGTTGACTACATTTATAGTTGGGGCTCTTAGCAGCGCATGCAGGACAGAACAGCTTGAAAGTGCAGAAGAAGAAGTGCTTATGAAGCTGCGGTAACCCTAAACCCTAAACCCTAAACCCTAGGGGAGGAGAGGCCTGGGGGAGTCTCTGTGCTCGTCTCTGTCTCCTCAGCTGTCTCCTTTTGTGTCTCTTTATGTATTCTTACATCTCTTTTCTTGCGTCTCCTCTTATATGTCTCTTCTTCTGTCTCCTTCGTTTGTCTCTTCTGTTGTCTCCTTGTTTGTCTTCTTATCTGTCTCTTTTCTTGTTCTTACCTATCTCTTTCTTTGTCTCTTTATTTATCTTTATGTGTCTCCTTTCTCTTTTCTTCTGTCTCCTCCTCTGTCTCTTTTTCTCTGTTTTGTTTGTTTGTATTTTTTGGTCTTTGAGGTTTGTCTTCTTCTTTCTCTCCTTTATGATTGCTCTGTCTGTCTCCTCCTGTCCCTCTTCTGTCTCTTCCTGTCCCTCTTCTGTCTCCTCCTGTCCCTCTTCTGTCTCCTCCTGTCCCTCTTCTGTCTCCTCCTGTCTCTCTTCTGTCTCCTTTGTCTCTCTTTTGTCTCTCTCTCGTGTCTCTTCTTTTGTCTCCTTGGTGTGTCTCGTCTTCTATCTTCTGTCTCCTCTGCTGTCTCTTCTTCTGTCTCTCCTCTGCCTTTTGTCTGTCTCCTCTCTGTCTCCTTTCTGTCTCCTCTTTGTCTCCTTTCTGTCTCCTCTCTGTCTCCTTTCTGTCTCCTTTCTGTCTCCTCTCTGTCTCCTCTACTTCTGTTGCAGTGTCTCTGCTGTCTCTCTTTCTCTGTTTTGTTTTTTCTCTCTTGTCTCTTTATTCCTTCTTCTGTTTGTTCCTTTCGCTGGCATATACGAGGCTTCAGGGTTTAGGGTTTAGGGTTTAGGGTTTAGGGTTTAGGGTTTAAGGCATAGTATTGTTCGGGGCTGGCAACTGCATACCTTCCTGCCTGCATATACAAATATAAAAAGAAATAAATAAATAAATACATAAATATATTATTTATTTATTTATTTATTTATTTATTTATTTATTTGTTTATTTGTTTGTTTGCGTTTAGGCTGTATTTGTTTAGTAGTTTTATCTGCAGCCCTCCGTGGTGTGTGCGTTATATGTCTCCGTCTGTCTTGAGCTCTCTTTTATCTGAAGACAGCAAACTGCTGGCTGCTGTCTATGCATGCGCTGTTCCTCGTTTGCTGCGGTATATTAACTCTGCTGTTGGAGGTGTTGTTGCTCTCTGTCTCCTCAACCGTTCGCTTGCTGCTGCTGGCTTACTTACTCTTCCTGCGGCTGCTGCTGTTGCCGTCCTTGTCGCGAAGTACGCCCGAGGGTTTAGGGTTTAGGGTTTAGGGTTTAGGGTTTAGGGTTTAGGGTTTAGGGTTTTGGGGGGGCCTAGACACAGGAGTTTGCTCTGCACCATCGATGCTGCAGCGAGGCCTTACTGTTTAGGGTTTAGGGTTTAGGGTCTAGGGTTTAGGGGTTATTGCTTACGGTTTAGGGTTTAGGGTTTATCTTTCGTATTCACTGCTCGTACCATCTATCGTTACCTACTCAGGGTTTAGGGTTTATGCCTTAGGGTTTAGGGTTTAGGGTTTAGGGTTTATGCTTTAGGGTTTAGGGTTTAGGGTTTAGGGTTTGTGTGTCAGGCGTCTGAAGCGGCTGAGGGAGGAGCGTCAGGCAGTAGAAGGAGAGTGGGCGTCTTCAGCATTGGAGAGGCTATTTGCATATCGTGCGGTGTATATACACCAGCAGCAGCAGCAGGAGATGCAGCGAGCTCTTCAGGTGTCTAGGCAGGTCCTTCGTGCTGCAGCAGCAACATCACGAGCTAGCGGCTGTCTTATGGGCTCTCTCTCTCTCGCTTCTAATTTGTCTCTTCTTATTATTCTCTCCTCTGGAGCAAAGCTGCTTAGAAACAAAACTGTAAGACTTCGTTGCTGCTGCTGCTCCTGGTGCTACTTTTGCTGCTGCTGCTGATGCTCCTTGTGCTGATGCTGCTGCTGCTTGTGCTGGTGTGCGTGCTGCTGATGCTGCTGCGGCTGATACTGCTTATGCTGCTCTTGGTTTGTCTGCTAATTTTGCTGTTGGTTATGCACCTGCTGTTGCCTATGCTGCTGCTGGCTATGCTGCTGCTGCTGCTGCTGCTGCTTATGCTGCTGTTGGTGTTTGTTTGTGGGTATGTATCTGTATGTTTTTATCTGTCTCCTCTAACTCTGGTTTGAGTCCCTCTATGATTTTCTGTCTCTGTCTCTTTTTGTCTTTGTTTGTCTCCTTTTGTCTGCTGTCTCCTCAGCTTAGCTACGGGGGCCTAACTTCTTTTGTCGTGTACGGGGCTATGGTTGCTGCTGGGTTTAGCGGCTTAGCGTCTCTTTCAGGTGAATGGGCGAAGGGGAGAGCAGCAGCAAAGCGAATGTTTGCTGCTATACAGCCCGCGCTGCAGCAGCAGCAGCAAGAGCAACAGCAACAGCAGCAGCAGCAGAAGCAGCAGAAGCAAGAACAAGAACAGCAGCAGCAGCAGGAACAGCAGCAACAGCAGGAACAGCAGCAGCAGCAGCAGCGGGAGTTCTCTATTGAAGGTCTTAGAGGCGAAATTGAATTTCATAGAGTTACTTACCTCTATGATGACGATAAGCCGAGCAACAACAACAACAACAATAGCAGCAGCAGCAGCAGCAGCAGCAGCGGTCTTTTCAGCAGCACTAGCCTGCTAAGCAGCAGCAGCAGCAGGAATAGCAGCAGCAGTAGCAACAGCAGCACGGACGGGTGCAGCAGCGACAGCAGCAAGAAAGGAGAAGGTATTGGGGGGGTAGTTGAGCTGTCTCTGCGTCTCCTTCCCGGCGAACTCCTCGCCTTAGCTGGGCCCTCCGGCGCCGGCAAAACCACAGTCTTTAAATTGCTGACGAAGGAACTCAAACCTCAAAAAGGAGTCATTACTGTCGACGGTAATATATATATATATATATATTATATGTACTTGCTGCTGCGCGTGCTGCTGCTGCTGCTGATGCGCGTGCTGCTGCTGCTGATGCGCGTGCTGCTGCTGCTGCTGATGCGCGTGCTGCTCGAGCTGCTCCTGCTGATGCGCGTGCTGCTCGAGCTGCTGCTGCTGCTGCTCGAGGTGCTCCTGCTGCTGCGCGTGCTGCTCCTGCTGATGCTCGAGCTGCTCCTTCTGATGCTGGAAGTGCTGAGCTGCTGCTCATGGGACGGGTGCTACTTATGGGGATGCTGCTGTTGCTGCTGGAGTTGCTGCTGCTGCTGCTGCTGCTGCTGGTACTGCTGCTGCTGGAGCTGTTGCTGGAGCAGCTGAGCTGCTGTTGGGGGCTTTCTTGTTGCAGCAGCACCTGGAGGTGTCTATGACTTGCAGCATCAACGCGAATGCGAGTGTGATTTGCTGTTACTTCTGCTTCTGCTTCTGCTGCTGCTGCTGCTGCAGGGATCGACTTGCAGACGATCCCCACGTCTGTGTGGCTGCGGCATATATTGGGGGTTGTAAGCGAAAGCAGCAGCAAAATGTTTGCTGGTTTGACGCTGAGGGAGAACATATCTTATGCTGCTGGAGGTGAATCTGCTGTTGCTGCAGCAGATGGAGATGCAGCAGCAGCAGCAGCAGCAGCAGCAAACTGCACGGGTTTTATAGAGGCTCTGCCTCAGGGATTGGAGACAGTTGTTAGCCCTGATGTCTCCTTTAGCAGCGGGGAGCAGCAAAGATTAGGCTTAGCCAGAGCTCTCTATAAAAACCCTAAAATTCTGCTGCTTGATGAAGCATCAAATGCGTTAGATCCCAACAGCGAACGTATATTCACAGACACACTTACACGCATCATGCAGCAGCAGCAGCAGCAGCAGCAGCAGCAGCAGCAAGGCGTGGAGCAGCAGAGAACAGGCGTTGTAGGGGACTCCCAGAAGCAACAGCAGCAGCAGGACAACCAGCAGCAGCAGCAGCAGCAAGACAACCAGCAGCAGCAGCAGCAGCAGCAGCAGCAGCGGGTTCTATCTACGCTGCTGATTGCACACAGCCCTGCTGTGCTGCAGTGTGTCTCTAGATTAATTGTTTTAAGAAGAGGAGAAGTTGCTGAGTCAGGGACGTACGAGCAGCTGCTGCAGCAAAAGGGCACGCTTCACGCTCTCCTCACAGGAGACCCCAAACCCTAAACCCTCAACAAACCCTAAACCCTAAACCCGCAACAAACCCTAAATCCTAAATCTTAAACCCCAAACCATCAACAAACCCTAAACCCTAAACCATCAACAAGCCCTAAACCCTAAACCCTAAACCATCAACAAACTTTTAACCCTAAACCCTAAACCCTCAACAAACCCTAAACCCTAAGCAAACCCTAAGCCCTATGCCAACGCACAGTATGAAAACCCTTTACCGTAAAGTAATAACAAACAAAACAAGCTCTTTGCAGACCTTATTACCCTGAACAAACCCTAAACCCTAAACCCTAAACCCTTGGATTCACCTAAACCCTTAACCCTCCTAAACCCTAAACCCTTGAAAACGTAAAACGTTTCAGCAGCAGAGACGAACGCATTCACGACTTCGTCTTCTTGGCATAAGCAGCAGCAGCAGCAGCAGCAGCAGCAGCAGCAGCAGCAGAAGTTTCTGCTGCTGCTCAGCCAGCAGAGGGGATGGCAGTGTCTGTTGCCTTTTGGGGGCGCTGCTTGTGAAGCAGCAGCAGCAGCAGCAGCAGCGAGACAGCTAGCTGCTAGCTGTAGCTGCCTGGGGGGTGCAGCAGCAAAATGAATTTGCTGTTTGTTGGTGCTGCTGCTCCTCGTTGCGTGAAGTGTCTCCTTGAAGACACGGAGACAGCTAAAGAGCGAACTGTTTGTTGGGCTGCATAGCAGCAGCAGCAGCAACAGCAGCAGCAGTTTTAGTATCTGCTGCTGTTGCTGCTGCCTCTGCTGCAGTGAGATGGCGGTGCTGCTTACTTTTTTTAATATGTGTATTAAGAACTACTGTTGCCCCCTCCTTCGTGATACAGCTGCTGCTGCTGCTGCTGCTCAAGATGCTGCAGCTGTTGCTGCTGCAGCTATTGCTGCTGCTGCTGCTGCTAGTTCTGCTGCTTGGATTGCCGTTGACGTTGCTTGGTGGTATGCGCTGTCCCCTCTGTTTCTGCTGTTTGACTTTCGCTTATGTCTGCTGCTTCTGTTGCTGCTGCTGCTCCTCCTGCTGCTTCAGCTGCTGCTGCTGCTTCTCTTGCCGCTTCTTCTGCTGCTCCTTGTGCTGCTTGTCTTGCCACTTCTGCTGCTGCTCCTCCTGCTGCTTCAGCTGCTGCTTCCTCTGCTGCTTCCCTTGCTGCTTCTCGTGCTGCTTCCCTTGCTGCTGCTGCTGCTGCTGCTGCTGCTGCATGGGTTTGTGAGTTGTCGGTGTGTATGCGAGGAGACAGACGTCAATAGCTGAATTCGTGCAGCGACACAGCGAACGCCAAGGCAGCGAAGACGCTGCCCTAAACGAGCGAGCAGCTGCAGCAATAATAAATTAAACAAATTAAATAAATTAAATTAATTAATTATTTAATTACATTTAAGTTGGTTAGGGAGTTAATGATGGTCATCCCTTCGTGGTGTCTCTGAACGAAGAAGGATAGAGAAAGGAGACAGAGAGAAGAGGCAGACAGAGAAAGAGAAAAAGAGAAAAGAGACAGAGAAAGGAGACAGAGAAAGGAGACAGACAGAGGAGACAGAGAGAAGAGACAGACAGAGAAGAGATGGAGAAAGGAGACAGAGAGAAGAGACAGAGAAAAGAAAGAGACAGAGAAAGAGATAGAGAAAGGAGACAGAGAAAGAGACAGAAGAAAGGGACGGAGAAAGGAGACAGAGAGAAGAGACAGACAGAGAGATAGAGAAAGGAGACAGAGAAAGGAGACAGAGAGAAGAGACAGAGAGAAGAGACAGACAGAGAAGAGATAGAGAAAGGAGACAGAGAGAAGAGACAAGCAGAGAGATAGAGAAAGGAGACAGAGAAAGGAGACAGAGAAAGGAGACAGAAGAAAGAGACAGTGAAAGGAGACAGACAAAGAGACAGATAAACGAGAGACATATAAAGGAGAGACAGAGGAAGGAGACAGAAGAAGGAGACAGAGAAAGGAGACAGTAGAGACAGAAGCACAAGAGAGACGCCTCTCTGTTTTGTCTCTCTTAGTTGTTTTGCTGCTCTCTGCAGCAAACGACTGAAAGAAAGCAAACAAGCAAACGAATGAAAAGGAGACAGAGGCACAGCAAAGGAGACAGACACTCCAGCAGCACCAGCACCAGCAGGAGCAGCAGAAGAAGCAGCAGGAGAAGCAGCAGGAGAAGCAGCAGGAGAAGCAGCAGGAGAAGCAGCAGCAGCAGCAGCGGCAGCAGCACAAGCAGCAGAAGGAGGAGCTTACGAGCAATGATGAAAGCAGCAATAATGTTGTTGTTGCTGCTAATTGCTTTCTCTAACCTCTTCATAATTTTCTGTCTCTTTTCTACAGATAAACTTCTGAAGCCGAAAGGCACATCAGAAAAGACAACAGAATTAGGAGGCAACGAACCGACTACCTGCGAAGCAAACAAACAAAAGAAGAAGTGAAGAAAGAAAAAGTATTCACAGACAAAGAAACTATAAACAGCAGCAGCAGTAGCGCCTCCTGCTGCTGCTGCAGCAAAGAAGGCATGCAGCAGCAGCTGCTGCTGCTGCAGCAAAGAAGGCATGCAGCAGCAGCAGCAGCTGCTGCTGCTGCTGCAGCGGCTCATTCTTGCGGAAGCAGCATCTGGGTCTTGCTGGAGACAAAGAGAGGCGAAAGGAGACAGAAGGAGACAGTAGGAAGCAAAGGGAGACAGGAGGAGATAAGGGGTCTCTAGAGACAGCATTGTTTTATGTTGTTTTATCTGGCTGCCGCCGCTGTTGCTGCTGCTGCTGCTGTTGCTGCTGCTGCTGCTGTTGCTGCTGCTATTGCTGCTGCTGCTGCTGCTGCTGCTGCTGCTGCTGTCTCTTTTTTCTTCTTACTGGAGAGAAATCCGAATGCACAAAAGACAGCGCACAGGGCAGCGCCGCATCTGCAAATACACCGCACGGTGTATATACACCCCAATCATAATATATATATATATATATATATTATATATTATATATTATATATAAATATATATATATATGAGGAGACAAGAAAAACAACGCAGAACGAACACGAGCAGACGCCACGCGTCATTCTTCTCTGCTGCTGCTGCTGTTCATGCTCCTACTTATTTTGCTGCTCTTTGTGCTGCTGCTGCTGCTGCTGCTGTTGCTGCTGCTGTTGCTCCTGCTGTACCTTCTTCAGTGTCGCCGTCTGCTATCGCCAGTCTTGGTGAGCGAAGTCGAAAGGCCTCTGCATTCATTAAGGCTCTCTAAGCAAACAAACAAACACAACTGCAGCAGCAGCTGCTGCTGTTGCTGTTGCTGCTGCTGCTGCTGTTGCTGCTGCTGCTGAGGCTGGTGAGGGTCTCTGACCTCAATTTGCTCTTTGTCGTTGTCGCAGCCAATCAGCCGCAGCCCTTTTATGTTGGGGTGATGCCTGCAGCAACAGCAACAGCAGCAAAAACAGCAGCAGCAACAACAGCAGCAAAAACAGCAGCAGCAGCAGCAAGCGCGTCCAAAATGTTCAGCAGCAGGGTTTGAGCGAGTGAGCATTTGGTGTCTCTTATACATCTCTCTAAACCCTAAACCCTAAACTCTAAACCCTAAACCCTAAACCGCTGGTCCCCTGGAGGTCAGTCTCCACTTTATACAAAGGCGCTCTGCGGGGCTTGGAATGGTTTAGGGTTTAGGGTTTAGGGCGTAGGGTTTAGGGTTTATGGCTTAGGGTTTAGGGCTTAGGGTTTAGGGTTTAGGGTTTAGGGTTTAGGGTTTACACGATGTCAAGACAGTTGAGAAAGGCCTCGAAGCGCGCCATGGAGTGCCGGGGGAACTGCAGACAGAGGACACAGTCATTCGTTGCTGCACTGCTGTTAGCAGCTAGCTAGCTAGCTAGCTAGCTAGCTGGCCAGTCTGCTGGCTAGCTAGCTACCCAATCATCTAGCTAGCTAGCTAGCGGACTTGCTGTTCCTGAAGAAGGCTAACTAGTCAGCTAGATAGCTAGCTAGCTAGCTGGATAGCTTCCCCTGACGTAGGCTACTCAGCTGGCTAGCCAGCTAGCTAGCTAGCTAGCTGAAGACGGCTAGCTAGCTAGAGAGGTAGCTGAAGAAGGCTAGCTAGATAATTAGCTAGCTAGCTAAAGAGGTAGCTGAAGAAGGCTATCTAGGTAGCTAGCTAGCTAGCTAGCTAGCTAGCTAGCTAGCCAGCTAGCTGACCCTGAAGAAAGGAAAGCTTCTGCTTGGGGAGTTGGGGACAGCGCCAGCAGCAAGCGACAGCAACTCCAGCAGCAGACTGCCGCTACCGCAGAAGGGGTCTAAGACAGTGAGGCTGCATGCAGACAGAGACAAAGAGACACAAGAAAGGAGACACTAGAAAGGAGACAGCAGAAAGGAGACAAAAGAAAGGAGACACTAGACGGTAAACAATAGAAAGGAGACAGTAGAAAGGAGACAGCAGACAGTATAAAGGAGACAGCAGACAGCAGAGAGGAGACAAAAGAGAAGAGACAATACGCAGGAGAAAGGAGACAAAAGAGACAGAAGACAACACACAAGAGACAGCAGAAAGGAGACGAAAGAAAGGAGACAACAGAAAGGAGACAAGTGGACAGAGAAATATAATAAAATAAAAATATATATTATATATTATATATATTATATATATTATGTATATTATATAACTTATAAGCTATCCTCCTCAATAAACAAACAACACCGGAGACAGCAGAAAAAGGAGACACACTAAGACACAGAAAGAGCAGCAGCAGCACAGCAGCAGCAGCACCAGCAGAAGCACCAGCAGCGCCAGCGCCAGCAGTAGCAGCAGCACCACCACCAGCACTAGCAGGATCAGCAGCAGCAGCAGCAGCAGCAAGGACGCCTCTAATTGCCTACTTGTCTCTGCTACTCAGTAGGTTGAGAACAGGAGACAGAAAAACTGCTGCTGCAGCAAGTGTCTCCCTCAGCGGAGCTACACCCTGACGCACGCGCCAAGGGCGAGGCGTCAATGGCCCAGAGGCAGCCACGCTCACCTGCAGCAGCAGCAGCAGCAGCAACAGCAGCAGCAGCAGCTATGGAGCATACACAGAGGTCGACAGAAGCAGCATCAGGGCAAACAAAGCGAAGCAAAGGAAGGGGGAGGTGCAGCAGCGGTAGCAGCAGCAACAGCAGCAACAGCAACAACAGCACCAGCAGCAGCAGCAGCAACTGCAGCAACAGCAGCAGCAGCAACAACAGCAGCAGCAAGGGCCACACTGACCATACACCCCAGCAAAGAGCAGTAGCAGCATGTTCACAGCAGCAGCAACAACAACAGCAACAGCTTAGGCACAGCAGCAGCAGCAGCAGCCGCAGCAGCAGCAGTCGCAGCAGCAGCTAGACGGACGAAGCATATGTTGTGTTTTATTCTGACGTGAATATTAGGCGGCCCCAAGCCCGCTGCAGCAAAAGGAGACAGCAGGAAGGAGACAAACAGCAGCATGAGACAGCAAAGGAGACAGAGAAGAAGCGGCAGCATAAGAGACAAAGAAGAAGGAGACACCCGAGCAGCAAGCACGCAGAGACGCATGCAAACAACAAGCCAGCAGCTGCACGCAGTAACAGCAAACAGCAGCAGCAAACAGCAGCAGCAAACAGCCGCAGCAAACAGACGCAGCAAACAGCAGCAGCAAACAGAAGCAGCAAACAGCAGCAGCAAACAACAGCAGCAAACCGACAGGCAAACAAAGAAACAAAACAGCAGCAAAGAGACAGAGGCACACGCGCAACGACAAGAGACACCCCTTGGTCATTTACAAGGGGTTTAGGGTTTAGGGTTTAGGGTTTAGGGTTTTGTCTTTAGGCTTCCGTCTCAGCAGATCTAGGGTTTGGGGTTTAGGGTTTAGGGTTTAGGGTTTACAAACAGAGGAAAAGAAGAACAAGAAGGAGACAGACACCGGGCATGAGAAGCCCGCAGGCACCTCCAGGAACAGCAGCAGCAGCAGCAGCAACAGCAGCAACAGCAGCAACAGCAGCAGCAGAAGCAGCCGCAGCAACGCAAAGGCAGCATGCACAGGATCCGCAGCAGTGCACAAGGACAGCACAACCCACAGCTGCAGCAGCACGAGAAGCCGCCAGCAGCAAGAGCAGCAGCAGCATCAGCAGCAGCAGCATCAGCATCAGCAGCAGCACCAACATACCTCCTCGCTTGTTCATAGAGCTAGGCAGGGTGTCAGGGAGACTGTTGTGCTGCAGCAGCTGTCTCCTTCTCTCTTTTAAACCCTCCAGCAGCAACGCAGAGATCAGAGAGCGGCAATACAAACGAGACCCATGAGAAGAGACCTAGCAGCAGCAGCAGCAGCAGCAGCAGCAGCAGAACAAGCAGCAGCAAGCAGCACAGCAACCAAACATGAGACGCATGATTGAACTAAACGGTCATACGGCTACCGCTGCTGCTGCTATTGCTGCTGCAGCTGCTGCTGCTGCTGCTGCTGCTGCTGTTGCTGCCCTGGTGTCTCCATGCGGATACAGGGGCAGAAGTCGAGGATAAAGGCCGCATGCTGCTCAGTGCTGCTGCCCTCGTTCTTGCTGCTGCTGCACCTGCTGCTGCTGCTGCTGCTGCTTCTGCTGCTTCTGCTGCTGCTGCTGCTGCTTACTGAAATTTTAGGTTCATTAAAAGTTGCTGAAAACACCAAAAACTTCTCCCTGCAGCAGCAGAGACAGCAGCAGCAGCAGCGAGGAAGTGCAGCAGCAGCAGCAGCAGCAGCAAAGCAATAGCAACAAGCAGGCAAGCGCAGCCACAGGTAAACAGCACGAAGGGTAACAGCAGCAGCAGCAGCAAAAGCAGATACAGCTCGGCCTTACCAAGGCAATGCTGCTGCTCCACGCGAGAGCTCCTTCTCTCCCCTGCAGCAGCAGCAGCAGCAGCAAAACCCGCAGCAGCAAGACAGTTGCTAGCAGGGCTAGAAAAAACCACAATAGCTACAGCAGCAGCAATAGAAGCAGAAACAGCAGCAACAGCAGCAACAGCAGCAACAGCAGCAACAACAGCATCTCACCGAGCGACAAACGGCTCTCCCACAGCAACGCGTACTTCCTCAGCGATGCGGCTGCAGCAACAACAGCAGCAACAACAACAGCAGCAGCAAACGCAGCGAATATAACCAGTGTCATTCACACCGCTAGCGCATGCACTGACAGCAGCAGCAGCTGCAGCAACAGCAGCAGTAACAACAGCAACAGCAGCAGCAGTAGCAAGAACTGCTGCGGCTGCTGGAACGACTGCAACCCTGCTGGTGCTGTACGGCCCCAGCAACGACAGCACCAATACCAGCTGCTGCAGCAGCAGCAGCAGCAACAACAACAGCAGCAGCAGCGGCAACAGCAGCAGCAAGAGCAGCAGCAACAGCAGCAGCAGAAGATACCTGCGCAGCGCTATATTCCACAGCAACTCAGGGGGTCCTGAGCAGGCAACGCCTCCTTCTTGTACATCTACAGACAACACAGTTGATGCTGCTGCTGCTGCTTCTGCTGCTGCTGCTGCTGCGACCGCAGCTGCAGTGTCCCCAGCTGCAGCAGCAGCAGCAGCAGCAGCTAGATGCGGCTGAGGAGACAGCAGCAGCAGCTGCAGCTCGCGAGCTAGCACTTCCTCCAGGCCGGGGGCGCAGACACAAAACATCTGAAGTGTACGGTCATCTCTCCCTGCTGCTGCTACTGCTGCTGCTGCATCTGCTGAAGCATCCTGCGTCTCTGCAGCAGCCCCCGCGGTGCTGCTGAAAGTGCGGCGCTGCAGCTGCTGCTGCTGTTGCCGGTGCTGCTGCTGCTGCTGTCGCAGCAGCTGCCGCAGGGATGTGAATGCTGCATTGTAGCCGTGGCTACTGCTGCTGCTGCTGCTGCTGCAGGCAGACAATCTATTTACAGCAGCAGCAGCAGCAACAGGTTTTGTGGCTGTTGGGAAACCTATAAGGTAACACCGCATGCAGCAACAGCAGCAGCTGCGGCTTAGGATGCAGCAGGCTTAGCAGCAACAGCAGCAACAGGAGCAGCAGCAACAGCAGTAGCAATAGCAGCAGCGGCAGCAGCAAAGACAGCAGCCCAGGCCCTCACAGCAGCAGCTGCGGCGGCGGCGGTGACAGCAGCTACAGCAGCAGTAGCAACATACCTTCATACAAGCGACGAGACTGTACTCCAGAAGCCCCTGCTGTAGCTGCTGCTGCTGCTACTGCTGCTGCAGATGTTGCTGCAGCAGATGTTGCTGCAGCAGATGCTGCTGCCAGGCGAGTTGCTGCTGCTGGGTGTGCTGCCCGTGCTGCTGATAAGCTGCAACAGAGGCAGCTGCCTCCTCGCTGCTGCTCCCGCAGCAGCAGCTGCAGCTGTCGCAGCAACCGAGTCATAGCTATAGGGGCCCCCGGGGGCCCCTATAGACGCAAACCCTAAACCCTAAACCCTAAACCCTAAACCCTAAAACCTAGAGATTCTGCATAGAAGGTAAGCAAACAAGAGGCTATATAACAAGGGACATTGCAAAAACATAGTTTAGGGTTCATTTGGAGGGGCCTAGGGTTTAGGGTTTAGGGTTTAGGGTTTAGGGTCTCTAGCTGCAGCCGCCGCAGCGGCATAAGCGGAAGCAAAAGAAACACAACTCCCCACAAGATGAAATTATAGCTAGCAAAAATCAGGCTCAGGTTTATTATCTCGTGGTTTAGGGTTTAGGGTTTAGGGTTTAGGGTTTAGGGTTTAGGGTTTAGGGTTTAGGGTTTAGAGACTGTCGAGACACCAGAATCGGCGGTCTTCTTGCTGGCTGCCGCTCCCTCCTCTTCTTTGTCCTTCATATTTTTATTATTTGAATTTTAATAAACGCAAACAAAACGCAAAACCTTCCCCCAAGTCAAGCAAATATGAGCTCTTCAGCAGCAGCAGCAGCAGCAGCAGCAGCAGCAGCAGCAGCAGCAGCAGGACAAAGGGCACCAACAAGAGCAGCGGACTTCATGGAAGCCACCTGTGCCTTGTGGGCGTCTCTCAGGTGTAGTTCGAGCAGCAGCAAAAGCTGCTGCTGCTGCTGCTGCTGCTGCTTCTAGAGCAGACAGTGAAGCGACTGCAGCAGCAACAACAGCAACAAGGAGGGGAGCAGCAGCAGCATTTGCTGCTGCGATGCCTGAGGGGCTGTCAGCGCGGGTAACAGCGGAGGTGGGGAGACACTGCACTGCTGTCTTGCGGCTGTTGCTGCAGCAGCAGAAATCATGCCCTGTTCATACTGCAAGTGCCGCTGCTGCTGCTGCTGCTGCTGCTGCTCTCGAGGCCCCTCGGTTCCCGCTGCTGGGGGCCTTCCTGCGGAACTTGGGTGCAGCAGAGCAGCAGCAGCAGCAGCAGCAGCAGCGCAGCAGGGCGGCAACGCGGCGACAAGAGCGGCTGCTGCAGCTGCAGCAGGAGCTCGAGATACACCGCAGCAGGTTCTTTGGGCAGCAGCACAGGCACAACAGCGAAGGGCTTCAAGCAGCAGCAGCAACAACAACAACAGCAACAGCAACCGGCAACAGCGGCAGCATCCAGTTGCTGCCGAGGCCTATCTGCTTGCTGCTGCAGCAGCTGCTGCGACGAGCAGCACCGCGAGCTTCACTGGGAGACATCGAGTTGCTGCTGCAGCTGTACGTGACCAGTGGTCACCTCCACTTGCTGCATGCAACACAGAGCAGCAGCAGCAGCAGCAGCAGCAGCAGCAGCAAATCGCTACAAGCAGCAGCGGGAGACGCCTCTTGGCTGCACGAAGCATTCCCAACGGATGTGCTGCTGCTGCTGCTGCAAACAGCGCGGCGCCGCCTGCAGCAGCAGCAACGGCAGCAGCGGCGGCAAGTCCACCAGACCCAGCAGCAGCAGCAGCAGCAGCAGCAGCAGGAGTTACCGGAAGATCTGCCTCTGACTGTGCCCATCGCAGTGCGGGTTGCGATTCTGTCTGCTGCAGCAGCACGTGCATGCAGCGGGCTGGCAGCAGCAACAGCAGCAGCACGAGCACCAGCAGCAGCAGGAGCTGCAGCGGAGGTGCCTTCAGCTCTGAAAGTAGCAGCAGCAGCAGCAGCTGTTGCAGCAGAGCAGCAAGGGCTGACGCCGGCCACTAGAGAAGCCCCCACAGGAGCCCCCTTTCTTGCTGCTGCAGCAGCAACAACAACACCAGCAGCAATAGCAACAGCGGCTACACCAGTAGCAGCAACAGAAGCAGCAGCAGCAGCAGCAGTATCACTGCCACTAAATAGTGCAACTGCAAGAGTACTAGAAGCTACAGCACCAGCAGCAGATTCAGCTACTGCTTCTGCTGCTGCTGCTGCTTCTGCTGCTGCTGTTGCTGCTGCAGGTGGCCGCACTAGCAGCACTCGGCAGGGGCGCCGGGTGCTGCGGCGCTGCTGGAGTCTTGTGCTGCTGATGCAGCAGCTGCAACGAGAGCAGCAGCAGCAGCAACAGCAGAAGCAGCCGTTTCTTCGTCTAGTGTCGGCACTGCAGCAGCAGCTGCTGCTGCTGCAGCAAACAGGAGACACCCGCAAGGTAAAGGCTAATCTCCTAGCGCTGCCTCTGCCGCAGCTGCTGAAGCTGACGTCAAGTCTTATTAGCAATTTGGTGCTGCAGCAGCAGCAGCAGCAGCAGGAACAGGCGCAGCAGCAGCAACAGCACCTACCGCTGCAGCAACAGCACCAGCAGCAACAACAGCAGCAGGAGTTGGGGCTACCGCACCGCCACCAGCAGGAGCAGCAAGAGGAGCAGCAGCAGCAGCAGCATGAAGAACAGCAGCAGCAGGAAATACAGCTGGAGATGCAGCAGCAGCTGCAGACAGAGCAGAAGCAGCAACTGCAGCCACAGCAGGTACTGGAGGAACAGCAACAACGGCAGCAGCAGGAGCTGCTGCAGCAGCTGCAGCAGCAGAAAGAGCATGTATCGGCGGGGTCCGGGCAGCTGCTGCTGCAGCAGCCGCTGCTTGTGCAGCAGCAAGACTCACACAATGAGAGAAAGACTTCACTGCAGCAGCAGCAACAGCAGCAGCTGCTGCCGCTACAACGGCAAAAGCAAACAGAAGTGCAGCTGCTGCTGCTTGCGGCTCAGGTGCTGCTGCTTAAACTGCGGAGCAGCAGCAGCAGCAGCAGCAGGGCCAGCAGCAGCACTGCACCGCGACGTCACCTTGCGTGCTGCATCTATGCCCTTGCCCGTCTACAACGCGCTACACTGCAGCAGCAGCAGAAGCAGCAGCAGCAGCAGCAGCAGGTTGGTGCAGCAGCCGCAGCAGCAACTGTTGGCCCTCTTGCCCTGCTGCTGCTGCTGCAGCTGCCGCCGCAGCAAATACGGCGGCTGTCTCTGCAGGATTTCATGCGTCTCTTTGCTGCTGTCTCCGAGCTGCTACCGCTGCTGCTGCACTTGTTACAAGATGCACATATACACCCAAAGGGTGCAGCAGCAGCAGCAGCAGCACACACCGAGCTGGCTCCGTTTGTGCTGCACAGACACCTGAAGGAGCTGCAGCAAACTGCTGCTAACCTTATTCAGGTGTCTGTCTCCTTTCACTCTCTTATTCCCTCTGCTGCAGCGCCAGCGCTAGCCAGAGGAGCTCGCAGTGTCATGCAGCAGCTGCAGCACCAAGCGGTGCTGCAGCAGCAGCAGCAGCAGCAGCAGCATCCAGGTGTGCATGCAGCTTTGTCCCGTGCTGCGCGAAGGCTCCTATCGGGCTCTTCTGCATGCGCCCCACCAAGTCTGTTGTGTGCAGCTGACGTTGCTGCACTTGCTGCATCTTACGAAGAGCTCGCTGCTGCTGCTGCTGCTGCTGCAACAGCAGCAGCAGCAGCAGCATGCCAGAGCCTTCCTGCTTAGTTGTTTTCTTTAGACCCGCTGCGGCGCGTCATCTGCAGCCCAGAGGGGCCCCTCAATATTTCTGTGCGATGTCTGCCTCAAGTAACAGCAACAGCAGTAGCAGCATTAGCAGCAGCAGTAGCAGCAGCAGGAGCAGCAGTAGCAGGAGCTGTAGCAGCAGCAACAATAGAAGCTGCTGCACTGAAGGCAGCAGAGTTAATGAAGAGAGTTCCTTCGTCTAAAGCAACGCCAGGCAAACAAAAACAAGAATAAATAAAATATAGCGCAAACCCTAAAAACTAATCACAAACCCCAGCAAATGCTGCTGCTGCTGCTGCTGCTGCTGCTGCAGCTGGAGTAGTTGCTCCTGAGGCTACTGCAGCAGCACTTGTAGCTGCGGCTGCTGCCGGTATCGTTGTTGGCGCTGCTGCTGCTGCTGCACTTGCGAGTGGCTGCCGTTACTGCTGCTGCTGCTGCCGGTTGAACGGCTGCAAATGGTGCTACTGCTGCTGCTGCTGCTCTAGCTGCTGCCGCTGTAGCTGCTGCTGCTGCTGCTGAAGCTACTGGTATTACTGCTGCAGTTAAGTTACTGCTGCTGTTGTAGCTGCGTGTGTAGCTGCTACTGCTGCTCTAGCTGCCGCTACTACTGCTGCTGTAGCTGATGCTACTGCTGCTGTAGCTGCTGCTGTAGCTGCTGCTGCTGCTGCTGCTGCTGCTAGAGGTCTACGACCTTGCTGGCAGCAAAGAGCGCCTCAAGTGCTTCCTCATCGATGCGCTGCGCGAGGCCCTTTCCCCTCCGCTCCAGAGACAGCCGAACAGACTCTGCTGCCTGCAGCAGCAGCAGCAGCAGCAGCAGCAGCAGCAGCAGCAAGGGAAGGGGGAACAGCAATATAATAACAACAGCAACAGCAATAATAACAGCAGCAACAGCAACTGCAGCACCAAGTGGGCGGCTACAACTGGAGACGCAAGAGGCAACACACAACAACAAGTAAACAGCAGCAGCAGTAGCAGCAGCTATTGCTGCTGCTGCTTCTGTCTCTTTGCTGCTGCTGCTGCTGCTGCCATGCCTACGGCAGGTGGTGCAGCACGGAGTTAATGAGGAATTAGAGAGAAATATAATAATAATGCATGCGTTAATTGTATTTATTTTATTAGTCTGAGGTGTACGTACAGTTGCTGCTGCTGCGAGGGCTGCATTGCGCTGCACCTGAGGCCGCCGCCTGCAGACAAAAGGAGACAGACATAATACAGAGAGACATAAGGAGACAGATAAAAAATAAAGAAGTGAAGACGAATAGAGAGACGAAAAGGAGACAGATAAGGAGACAGATATAATAAACAGCAGAGATAAGCAGAAAGGAAAGAAAAAAAGCAAAGACGCAGCAGCAAGACTCAAAGGAGATACAGCAGCAGCAAAGCAGCAGCAGCAGCAGCAGCAGCAGCAGCACAGCTGCAGCATCATAGCAGCAGCACCGAAGCAGCAGCAGCAACGCAGGCGCAGCATCAGCATCAGCAGCAGCAGCAGCAGCAAAGATGAGGAGACAGCAGCAGCAAGGGCTAGAGGAGACAATGCAAAAAGGAGACAAAGAGACACAAAACAGCAGCAAAGGAGAGGCACCTCTTGTTTGGATTCTGCTGCTGCTCTCTCTCGTTTTGCTTCCGCTGCCGCATACGGCGATTTACTTCAGGCATAATATCGCGGGTTAAATCATCCCTAGCAGCAGCAGCAAACAAACGCAGCAGCAGCAGCAAATGCAGCAGCAACAGCACACAAATGCAGCAGCAAAGTTACGCAGCAGCAGCAGCAGCAGCAAACAAATACAGCAGCAGCAGCAGCAAACAAGTGCAGCAGCAAAGTCGCAGCAGCAGCAACAGCGGCCACAGGAGGCGAGAAGGCGTAGCATTCCTCAGCATGCTGCTTCATAACAAACGGATAACGACCGCAGCAGCAGCAGCAGCAACGGCAACAGCAGCAGCAACAGCAGCACTAGCAAAACCAGTCGCACCAGCAGCACCACTGTCAGCACCCGCACGAACAATAGCAGCAACAGCAGCAGCAACAACAGCAACAGCAGCAGCAACAACAGCAGCAACGAATATCTAACCATATGAGTGCCTTTGCCTCTCTTTCTTCTTCATTTAAAAGCATATCTTCAAGAGCCCCATCAGACTCCTCGTCATCTTCTTCTCCTTCAGCAGCACCCCGCTGCCCCTCAGCAGCAGCAGCAGCAGCAGCAGCAGCAGCAGGCCTTGCTGCACCTGCACCTGCTGCTGAACCTGCTGCTGCTGCTGCTGCACACGGGGATTCCCCGCTGTCTGCAGCTGCTGCGAGACCTTGGGTCTCCGCCGGAGGCAGCAACTCATCAGCCCGAGCCTGCACAGACACAGCTGCGAGGCAGCAAACAGCAAGTGCAGCAGCAGCAGCAGCAGCGGCGGCGACAGCAGCAGTAGCAGTGATAGCAGCAGCTGTTGCTGCTGCTGCAACAGGAGCTCCTAATTCCTGCTGCAGCTGCTGCTCCTACTAGTGAAGCACCCGCAGCGCCTTCTATAGCACCCCAGCTGGCTGCTGCTGCTGCTGCTGCTGCTGCCTCCAGCAGCAGCAAAGCAGCAGTGGCGCTGCAGCACCACGTACACCATGACATAGCAGCAGCTCCAAACGTGGCATTGCAGCAGCAGCTGGTGCACTAAATGCTGCTGCTGCTCTTGCTGCTGCAGCAGCAGCAGCTGCTGCTGCTGCTGCTGCAGCAGCAGCAGCAAAGTAATAAGGTCTTACCCTAACAGATCTAAGGAGGTCGGCGAGAGGGTTTTCGCTTTCTGTGAGTCGCACTGTCTCCTCGTGTTCCCCCTCTGCTGCTGCTGCTGTTGCTGCTGCTGTCTCTAAGCCCGCCCGTGTGTCTCCCGATGCAGCAGAGTCTCCGTCTCTGGTGTCTCCTTTTGCGCTTTGGCTTCTTGCAGCTGCTGCTGCTTTGTCTGTTGGATCTGCTGCTGCTGCACCTCCTGCAGCAGCGCCATCTGCTGCTGCTGCTGCTGTTGCTGCTGCTGCTGCTGCTGCTGCTTCTTCTGGGGGGGCCGAGGAGCTGATTGTCTGCACTATCCAACCTGCTACAGACAAAATGTCTCCTGAAGAGGGACGCTGCAGCGCAGCAAGAAGCAGCAGCAGCAGCAGCAGCACCGAAAACGCATAAAAGCAGAGGAGACACTAATAATAACAAATAAATATATATAATAAAATAACAAAGAGGAGACAAATAATAAACAATTAAAAGGAGACAAATAATAAATAATAAAAAGGAGACAGAGACGAACCAAGGCAGCGCGCAGCAAACAGAAGGGAGGCAAACAGCAAAAAATAAAAATTAGACAAACATCAAAGCAGCAAAACAGCAAACGGGGGGCCCAGCAGCAACAACAGCAGCAGCTGCTGCTGCTGCAGCTTCTGCTGCTGCTGCTGCTGCTGCAGCTAAGAAAAAATAGAGAGGGGACAACGAGGAGACAGCCTACTTCATTGCAGAGAGCATCGCTGCCAGCAGAGAGAGACAGCTGTCTCCTCTCTGTCTCCTTTTCTTTATTAGGCCCTTGTGTCTCCTCTCCCCCAGCAGCAATTGCAGCTCCTTCTGCTGCTGCTGCTGCTGCTGGAGACGCTCCTGCTGCTGCTCCTGCTGCTGCTGCGTCTTCTCCTGCGTCTGCGGTTGCAGCTGCTGCACACAGAAGGCAGCCCCCACTCCAGGAGACAAAAACTATAAGAGAGACAGTCGGTAGAGAAGCAAAGACGCGAGGAGTATGGCAGCAAAAGGAGACAAAAGGAGACAAAAGGAGACAAAAGGAGACAAAAGGTAAGGCTGGCCGTTAGGCGGATACAGCAGGAAGCAGAGACACAACACGATGAAGAGACGCAGAAGGAGACAAGCGGTTTGCTGCTGCTGTTGCTTCACCTGCGTCACTGAGAGGGAGTGTCTCCTTTGCTGCAGCAAACAAAGACACAGCAGCAGCAGCAACAGCAGCAGTAGCAGCAACAGCAGCAGCAGCAGCAGCAGCAGTGAACTTTGCATATCCTTCTGTCCCCTGCTGGCGTTGCGACTTTTGCTGTGTCTCCTGCCTTACCGTCTTGTATCTGCTGCTGCTGCTGCTGCTGCTGTCTCCTTTTTGTGAGGCGGCAGGGTGGCAGAGACAGCGCAGGTAGCTGCAGCAAATCTGTCTCCGCAAGTGCAGCAGCAGGAAGCTGAGCGACCGCTGTACGTTTAAATTCATACAAACGCTTTGTGAGAGTAGGGCAGGAGACACGTACAGCCTAAAGAAGCAAAAGGAGACAGAAGGAGACAGAGATAAAATAAAGAGACAGAAGAGAGGAGACAGAGACAAATAAAGAGACAAGAGACAAATGTACAGCCAAAAGAGACAGAAAATAGACAAAAGGAGACAAAAGGAGACTCAGATAAAATAAAGAGACAGCAGAGAGGAGACAGACGTAAAATAAAGAGACAAAAGAGATGAGACAGACAAGGAGACAAAAAGACAAACAGATACAAGTAAGAGACAGAGCAGAGGAGACACCAAAGGAGACAGCAAGGAGAGGCAAAGATAATACAAACATAAAAAGAGACAGAAAAGAGACAGAAAAAAGCGGAGACAAACATAAAATAAAATAAAATAAAATAAAAATAAATTAAATTAAACTAAATTAAGACGAGGGAGGAGACAGACAAAGAGACAGCAAACGCAGAGAGAGAGAGAGGCAGCAATGCAAGGAGACAAAAAGAAAGAGAAAAGGAGACAGTCAGCGAGTCATAGAGACACACTCAGACGCAGCAACAAGAAAGAAAAACGAAGGAGACAAAAAGGAGACAAGAAAGAAAGATAAAGGAGACAAAAAAGACAAAGACAACAAAAAAAAGATAACAGTGAAGACACAAAAGAGACGAAAAGAAATATAAATGAGACAAGAAAGAAACACAGATAAAGACAAAGGAGACAAAGGAGACAAGACAAAAAGATGAAGACAAAGGAGACAAGAAAAGAAGACAGAGAAAGGAGACAAAGGAGAGAAGATAAAAAGATAAAGACAAAGGAGACAAGAAAGATAGATAGAGACAAAGGAGACAATAATGAAGAAGAAAGATAAAGAGAAAGGAGACAAACAAACACACAACTGCAACATCCTCTGCCTCAATCTGCACGTCGTGATATCGCGCAGCAATCAAAAGAGCTGCCCCACAGAGACCCATCGGTCTCCTTCCTGTTGCTATCCAGTCTCTCTTCATAGCCTGCAGCAGCAGCAGCAGCAGCAAAAGCAGCAGCAGCAGTAGAAGTAGGTGCGGCACCAGCAGAAGTAGGTGCAACAGCAACAGCACCACCAGCAGGAGCAGCAGCACCACCACCACCAGGAGCAGCATCAGCAGCAGGAGCATCAGCAGCAGCAGCAGCAGCAGGAGTTGAGTTACCTGTACTAGCCTAACTGCAGTCTGCGCGACCTGCTGAGTTTTGTCTCCGAGTTGCAGCTGAGCAGCAAACCTCTCTAAGAAGAGAGACGGGTCTACGTGAGGGACTTGCACGTGCAGCACCCGCAGCAACTTCATAAACACCTGAAGGAGACACCCAAAAAACATAACTCAAGGAGACACTTAAAACAAAGGAGACACTTAAAAGAAAGGAGACACTTAAAAGAAAGAAGACACTTAAACAGAGGAGACACTACGACAAAGGAGACACTTAAACAGAGGAGACACTTAAACACAGGAGGCACTTAAGCAAAGGAGACAATCAGAAAGACCTAAAGGAGACAAGCAGAAAGAGCTGAAGGAGATATTTAGACAAAGGAGACACTCAAAAACACCTAGAGGAAACACTCAAACAAAGGAGACACTCGTAAGCCCCAAAGGAGACACCCCACAGGAGACGCTCTTTCACCACAGTGAAGCCTGCTACTGCTGCTGCAGCACTTTCTGCTGCTGCACTTGCTGCTGCTGCTGCGGGGAGAACGGTGACAGCAGCCTTAGCAGTAGTCAGGCAGAGATAACCCCCAAAGAAAAGCTGCAGCAGCAAATGCTGCAGCAAATGCAGCAGCAGCTTCGTACCTGTCCGAGAGACCGCACACTGACCCTGCAGCACAGCAGCAGCAGCAGCAGCAGCAGCAAACACCATAAGGAAGCCGCAGCAGCAGCATCAAGGCCAATAAGGCGGGCCCGTAGCTGCAACAACAGCTGCAGCACCAGGAACTGCAGCAGCGTTTGCATGAAGGGGATCTGTCTCTGTCTCTGCTTCTCTCTTGTCTTTCTGTCTCTTTCTGTCTCTTTGTGTCTCCTTCTGTCTCTTTCTGTCTCTTTCTGTCTCTTTCTGTCTCTCTTTCAGCATACATATATATATACACAAATATATATATAAATAAATGTATACGTTTATACATAAATACACAACGATATATATATACATATATTACTATATACATATCTATATATATGTATACAACTATACATATATTATTATACATATACATAAATATATATATATGTATATATATATATATAACTCTATATATATTACTATATCTACAACTATATATATATATATATGGAAGTATATCTACGACTATATCTATAACTACATCTAAATATATATATAGATAGATAGACAGACATAAATACATATACATATATATATATATATGTATATGATTATGAGGTGTTAAAGACCTGAGAACATCAGAGAAATCAATAAGAAGGTGCGGGGTCCTCTCTCTGCGGCATATGGTGTATAGACAGGCTCCAGCGACGACAGCGCCGCGCCGCCCCACACTAAAATTTCTTTGAGACGCCATCAGATACAAACGATGCGCTGAAGCAACCTGCTGAGGAGACAAACGCAAGTGATCTGCAGCAGCAGCAGCAGCAACAGCAGCAGGAACAGCAACAGCAACAGCAACAGCACAGGCAGCAGCAGCAGAAAATCATCCAAGTGCAATAGCAGTAGCAGCAGTAGTAGAAGCAGATGTAGCAGTAACAGCAGCAGCAGCACCACCAAAACATGCATATGTAGTAGTAGTAGCAGCAGCAGCAGTAGTAGTAAATCGTACAAAAAGAGCAGCACATAGCAGCAGAAACAAAGCAGAGGTGCAGCAAATGTGTATAATGCAGCAAGACAAGACGCCGAAGCCTCCTTGACCAAAACCACCACCAACAAAGGACAGCAGCAGCAGCAGCAGCAGCAGCAGCAGCATCAGAAGCATCAGCTCACAGCAGCAGCATCAGCAGCAGCAGCATCAGCTCACAGCATCAGCTCACAGCAGCAGCTCACAGCAGCAGCAGCAGCAGCAGCAGCAGCAGCATACCTGCAACAGACTGTATGTTGCTGAGGCCTCTCTGCAGCGACTGTTCGCGCGTCTCTCCGCCAAACCCTAAACCTCTGCCGCTGCTACCCGCAGGGACGAACCGCCCTACCTATTAACAAAATAAATATAATATAATTAATATAAATATAATATAATATAATATAATATAATATAATATAATATAATATAAATATAAATATAATGTAATATAATATAGTATAGTATGATTAATATAAACAGAACATAACAAAGAGGAGACACTAGAGACAGAGACAGACAGCATAAGGAGACAGACACACAAACAAACAGCAGCAGAGACAACGCATGCAGCAGCAACAAACAATGTAGGTGCAGCGCAACCGTAGCAGCAGCAGCAAACGAGTTGGTGCCGCCCTAATACAGCATCAACAGCAACAGCAAGAGCAGCAGCAGCAGCAGCGGAAAGAGCAGCAGCAGCTGGACAAAGAGCAGCAGCAGCAGCAAGAGCAGCAGCAGCAGAGAGCAGCAGCAGCACAGAACAGCAGGAGCAGCAGCAGCAGCAGCGCACAGAGCAGCAGCAGCAACAGCACAAAGAGCAGCAACAACAACAGCAGCAGCAGCAGCAGCAAGAGCAGCATTGCGTCTCTCACCAAGGACATGCCTCCTCCTGCTGCCTCTGTGAACTGCAGCCCCTCCACTATGCCGCTCTCCTCCAGCACGGCCCCACACCTGCATATACACCGCAACACCGTCAATGCACCGAGTGCTGCTGCTGCTGCTGCTGCTGGGGGTCCTGAGGTACCGCGAGCTGCTGCTGCTGTAGCAGATGCTGCTGCTGCTCCTATCGCTGATTCTATTCAACAGACGACGCTATAAATGCTGCAGCAGAAGAATACAGTCATGCACGGGGGCAGCAGCAGCAGCAACAGCAGCAGCAGCAGCAGCAGCAGCAACGGCACAGCAGGAGCTGCATTGGCTGCGGACGGCGTGGTGGGCCTCAAACTCGCACTGCCTCAGCAGAAGCATACCGCAGCACTTGCTGTTGCTGCAGCTCTTGCTGCTGTTGCGGCTGCTGCTGCTGCTGCTGCTGCTGCTGCTCGAAAGAAGCAATTGTTACCTGCAGCAGGTCAGCTCCCCCTTGTGTTCGCTGCGCTCAAGCTCTTCGCTGCCGCAGAAGCGGCAGGACCTGGTAGAGCTCATTTTGAAGAATTGCAGATGTGGGCTGCTGCTGCTGCTGCTGATGCTGATGCTTCTGCTGCTGCTGCTGCTGCTTCTGCTGCTGCTGCTGCTGCTGCTGCTGCTGCTGCTGCTGTCTGCCTTGTTGTCCGCAGTCTGCTTTGTCTTTGAAGCTTCCGCTGTCTCTCACAGGCAGCGCTTGCGTGCTGTGTTTGCGGTGTATGTACACCTCAAGTAGATAATAATGGGTGTCTCCTTTGCTGCTTTTTCTCTTCTTCGTCTCTGCAGTGTCTCCTCATAGATGGAGAGACAGCTGCAACAAAAGAAGCAAAAGCCTTAAGGCAGCTGCAGCAAGGTAAGCAGTCCCTCCCCCTGCTGCTGAGGGGGCCCCCAGTCGTAAGAGGGGCCCCCAGAAGAAGCAGCAGCACTCGTCAATAAGCTGTTAGTAGGAGTAGGGTAGGGAAGACAACTTCTGCTGCTGCTGCTGCTGCTGCTGTTGCTAACGCTGCTGCTGCTGATACTCCTGCTGCCGCCGCTGTTGCTCCTGCAGCTGCTGCTGCTGCTGCTGAGGAGAAGCATCAGCTGCGCTGCAGCCGCCGCTCGCTGCGGTCCGGTGGGGGCCCCGCAGCTTGAGTAGAGAGAAGAGCTGCTGCTGTTTTTTCTCTTATTATCTCTGTAATGACTTTAAATTAAACATTTTTAATGCAAAATAACCTGGTTTTAAACGTAAATCCTTGCGTTTAGAGGGGGGCCCCCAGCAACAGCAGCACTTGTATGCCGTTGGCTATGGGGGCCCCCAGGGGGCCCCCCAGGGGGCCCCCCGCCTATCTTTAGGGCTGCAGATGTTTGTTTACAGTTTTGTTGTGAATAGTTGGATGGTTAAACCGATAGTATCTCTGCAGCAAATGAGGCGTATAGGCAGCTGTAGCTGCCTGTACACCCCAGGTAAGTCGGCCCTGCGACGGCCCCAGCAGCAACACAAAAGACGCTGCGAAAGGAACTGTCGTTCCCACTGCTGTTGCTGCTGCAGCTTCTATTGCTGCTGCTGCTGCAGCAGCTGCAGCAGCAGCAAGGGGACGAGCAGCAGCAGCCTCAGCTCCCTGGCGCGGCTGCTGCTCTCCAGAGGAGGCTTGTACAGGAAAGAGGATCAGTCTAAGCCACAGGCAGCGTGCAGCAGCAGCAACTCTAGCATCAGCAGCAGCAAATCTATCATCAGAAGCGGAAACTCCAGCATTAGCAGCAGCAAGTGCAGCAACAAGAGCATCAGCAACAGGAAGTGCAGCAACTTCAGCATCAACAGCAGCGAGTGCAGCAACAGCAGCAGCAGCAGGACCAGCAGCACCGCTAAACTATCTCTAGCAACTCAATAATAACGCAATGTAGGCCGTCAACGCATGCATGCAAACCCCTCAAAAACATAAATAATAGTTTTAAAAGGACCCCAAAGAGGAGAGTAAAAAAAAGATAGACAGACGCTATAAACCCCTGTACTCGCGCATCTGCCTCTAAGTATATACCCCATAGGTAAAGGGCCCCTCTATAGGTGAGGGGGTGGGGGGGGAGGGGGTAGGAGGACCCTCAGGGGCCTCCTAACCTAACCAAGCTTCTGCTGTAGCTGACGCATTTCTTAGGGATGCTCTTGCAAGTTAACGAGCATCCTTCTGTTGTTGCTGCTGCTACTTCTGCAGCAGCAGCTGCTGCTGCTGCTGCAGCAACAATGGGGAGTGCAGCAGCAATAGAGAGGCTGCAGCGGCCTGCTGTCTGCCTCTTACTTTACAAAAGAGCGACTGCGCTGATTCCATTGCATGTTCTTCTTGCAGCAGCAGCAGCAGCAGCAGCAACAGCTGCTGCTGCTGCTGTGGGTGCTCCCAAGCATCCCTATGCTGCTGCTGCTGCTGCTGCTGCTGCAGGGATGGTAGTTAAGTGCAGGGAGTTTATACTGCGAGGTCTGACTGGTTTGTATTATCATTCCTCTCAGCTATTTTCTGATAAGAAACTCCTTTATGAAGGGCTCCGTGTACAGACACCACACAAGTGCAGAGCAGCAGCAACATCATAACCGCGCTGCCTGCTAGCAGCAAAGCCAAACAAACACTACCTGCGCATACACCCCCTTGAAAACTCTTTTTCGGTATTGTTGTCTCTCCTATCTGAACAAAGACAAAAAACAACAAACACACACCCATACACTACCAGTAAAATATATATATATATATATATATATATATATATCTATATATTATATGTTGATATATATATATATATGATACACATAAATATATATATGCAACACAGCGAAGGAGACAGAAAAAAAAAAAGAAGACGCATGAAGGAGGAGAGAGACAGACAAACAAAGGAGAGGTCTACAGACAACTCCAGAGACAAAGAAACAAAGGGAGACAGACAAGAGAGGCAATTATATAATTATTGACAGATGGGGCGGGAGAGAGATCACAAGAAAGATATAAAAGGAAGCAAAGGGAGACAGACAAGAGAGGTAATGCTGCAGCAACTCTAGCGCTAGGTTTCTCCCTCTGCTGCTTGTGTTTGTGTCTGTCTTCTGCTGCATTTGCAGTAACGTGGGTGCTGATTATTTGCTGCTGCTGCTGCTGCGGCTGCTGCTGCTGCGGCTGCTGCTGCTGACCTGCACTTCTCCCTTGAAAGATGCATAGGAGCAGAGGGCCCCACAGAGCCCCGCGACGCCCAGCAGCGCTGGGTTTAAGAGAGCGCATGCAAGACTTAAGACGCAGCAAATGCAAATGTAATTCGTAGAGAAGTAACGCAGATTCCTCTCCAAGCGATCGACTGCTGCTGCACCTGTCCCCGGCCTTTGGAATGAAGAAGAAGCAAAAAACTCAGGCCAGGGAGCGCAGCGACTTAACACCAAACGGTGTAGCGCTAGATACACCCCATGAACCTGCAGCCATCATCGGCACAGAGAGAGAAAAAGAGAGAAAAGCATCAACAAATAAACACAGTCAGCAGCATCCAAATACAATATATATCCTTAGCTCGACAGTCCATCACTCCTACAACCAACTTGCAGATACTTTCGTGCATGCAATGCAGAAGAAACAGGAACAACACTACATGCCCCGCATATAACTGCAACAAGAGCGAACGCAGCCCCTTATTCAAGAGGCTGCTAAGACTGTCGGTAAGCTGCCCATATATGGAGGCGATAAGCACCTGAGAAACGGCGAATTTGGCGCCTCCAGGGACCTTGTGGCTGTCGAGAGTGCCGCTGAGTTCAGAAGGGGAGGGAGGGCTGCCTCCTAAGCAAACGGTCGCTCTGGTCTGTGCTGCCTGGGGAGAAGGGCTGAGCTGGTCTGCATCTGTCTGCTGCACTGCTGTCTCAGTGGAGACATTGGACCCGGTGGTGGGACCGCCAGCACAGAACACCGGCTGCTGCTGAGGCGCGTCGCTGGAGTAGAAGTCATCAACGGCAGAGGCGGTCTGAGAGGCATTGCCGCCGCCGAATGCGTCGACCATCATCTTCAAAATTGCATGCACGGCAAAAAGAATGCAAAAAAACGAAAAATAAAGTCTAAAAAATGAGAAGATTCCCCTCGATCTTCCGACGCAACCGTCACAAATTGAACGGAAACCCAATCATACGTCGGATGTATGCGCAGCTCAAGCGCATGTCCAACCAACAGGAAGCTGCGTCCTGCTATTCACAAGAATTTAACTTGAATATTATCAAAGAAGGTTAATAAAGTTGGGAAGCTGCACAGATCGCCAACGAGCGCCGAGAGCTGTGCAGCTGCCGCCGTCCCGCCGGTCAGTTGTACAAGCACACGGTTGGGGTGTCTGTACACTTCCTGTAGCTCGGGCATTAATACACAACACGATTCATTTTCTTCCTTTTTATAGAGACACAGTTTAGGTGGAATTGAACTTTACAGCCCCTTTTCCCTCTCCCTTCACCGACATCGTTCTGTACACCATAGACAGCAGTGACGACTATAGGCCCCGGCTAGCGCCGCTCGCGCTGCTTCATTATTTTTTTCCATAACGCACGAAAAGCCGCTACTACTCTGCTTATTTGGAAGCACTATCTTGTTGCTATGCGTATCTTCTCAGACGGCGTAAGCCGTCGACCAACAGACAGAAAATAAAGCTTTTTAGGTGACCCTAGACCTAACAGTGCAGTCTTCGTAAATAGCATGGGGGAAGCTGGCATAATACTCCCTGAAGTGCTTAGTGTATGCAGAAAGCCGAGGGTTGACAGTTGGAGCAGAACTAACGAATATGTTGCATCCATGGGAGGCTCTCTGTAGCTTGTGTAGCGGAAGTTTTCAGTCGTGTCTGATTACAGTTGTGAGTATAAATAGCGTTAAAATGCTGAGCGTAGCAGTTTTCAAAAAGCAGATAGCATACATCCGAATCTCCAGCTTTACTGTGGACGGCAATACGAGTTGAAGCTAGGGGGCTGTAGCACTCTTTATTGCAGGTCCTGCTGCAGCTTAAACCCACGTAAAAGCACAGCCCTTATCCCTTTTAATGCATATTTCACGGGTTTAGACAGCTGATTAGGGTTTATTTGGCCCCCAGAGTATTGTTTGGACAGCGCTGCACTTGAGGCAATCCTTATCTTGATTTTTCTTTTTGGAAATTGCAGCCCCTCTGTGCCTCTCAACTACGTCGAGGGGGATCTATTATGGGTGTGAAGAGAGCATCAGCAGCAATCCCAACAGAGTCAGTGCAAAAAAAAAACTACAAACGTCTTCGAGACAGTTGGCCGCACCTCCAGAAGCTTCGAGCAAAGAAAAGGAAACGGTTCTTGAGCCGCTTGGAAATCTTCTTCTTGCTTAGTTACAGCACTTCATGTTGCAACTTATTCATAAAAGAAACACAACATTCAAGCACAATACACATTTTAATTAACTAATGCATTCTGAATCCTTTAAACTCTTCCCCGATGAGCCCATATACGCACAACTATGAATGCATGCACCAACCCCTACCAGAGCCAGCTACAGTGTATTGACGCACGCTAAGGGCGAGCAACTAATTAATTAATTGCTCCTCAGGCGTTGTTGAAACCTCCTCAATTTTAATTCAGTAACAGTAAGGAAGCTTCAACAACTCCTGACTCGCAACCTGCACTCGCAGTACATCAGCATCTCAAACCCATCATATTACTGGGTCTAAGAAGTCAAGACCCGTCCTCTTTGCTTCGTCCGTATTTCTTTTTGTCTTGCTTGTTGACGAGTGAAAGGGGATACGAATTTGGATGAACGTTGCACTGTGGCGCAACCCCAGCCTAGCTAGCACATTGCTAGAGAACAACAGAAAATTGAATTAATCGCTGCGGTATATATCTCTCCCCCAACTTAAAAATAGACATGCTTTTGAACTTGTTTCGTGGGGCAGATGCAGTTGCGAGTTCGCCTGAAGAAAGTTAAAGAGGAACAGTGGCTAGGCGGGTAGATGATGCCTCTGTCGTTATCTTCCCCCTGATTTTTGATGGGTTTCTTGAAGTACGAGTACGCATGAGAAACAATTAATTGTTATATGCCACCAGGAATTATACTGGAGGTTTCGTTTTCACTAAGTGCCTCACTAGCTATCTTGCGATTACAAAATAAAACAATGGGGTCGAGTAGAGATGCGTATGCCTTCGCACTGAATAAGAATACATGCACGCAGTGGGGCTGTATATTAGCAGCAAGGAACGCTGTGGATATGGAAGCAAACGACGCCGGTCTCTCCCACCACTCATCGCTTGTGATAATGCGTATAATAAGCAGAGTTCCTTTCTCCCAGGAGGCGTAGAGAGCTCCAGATGAGCCTACAAACATTACACCACAAGGAAGCGTCAAAAACGTTCTGTATCGCGCGTAGCGGTCTTAGCCATGTGAATCAGTACTACTGCAACCTTGCAGATATGGTGGGATAGTGAAAAGGCGTATAGAAGTGCATGAAACTCAACAGAACTGGACTGACGGGGAATTGAACCCCGGACCTTTTGCATGCGAAGCAAACGTGATACCCCTACACCATCAGCCCTACATGGGTTGGACTCATTCCCCATGCAGAATGATGCACAAGCAATAAAAACATCGCAGACTACCCAGCCGTACGAACTAAGCGGTTGCGCCTAACCTGAAACAGTCTGCAGCATCACATGTTCCTAGATTAGGTTTCTACTACCCGTCCAGCTTAAAACAGCAACGAAACGAGCGTATTGTTCTGAGAGGCAGCACTAAAACGTGTGTTTCAAAACATTCGTAACTTCAAGTAACTGCACGCTCCATTGGTATGACGGTATAATTCACTTGCCCGCGTGCTGCGATGAAGAGCAGCAACTTTGAACCATCTGAGTTTCTTGAGTACCGCTTGCTCTTTCCATTATCAGAACCCTAGCCAATTCTAGGGTTCTGGTTATGGAAAGCCTGACCCGTTCCGGAAGATCAGCAGTATGGTTATACAAAGCAGCTGTTGCAGCTCTAAAACGATAAGTGAACGAGGGAAGGAAGCTGTAATGGAATGTAGGGATCAACTCCAACAAGAGGAGGCCAGCAAATCTCAGGAGCAACCTGTGTATAAAACAAGTGCTGTATATGTAAGGCAGGTGTTATTCATTGGAGTATTTTACTGCTCAAAGATGCTTCGTAGTTTGAATCCTTCATTGAGAGTGCGCTTCCTCCTTCATGAAACTTGCGGTCATTCAGAAGAAAAAACAGATTCTGATGGGTATTCACTATTCGAGTGTGGGTGCTTACTGAAGATACCGAAAAGATTATATAAGGTGCGCTCACATTTTGCCGTTGCGTGCACTGCATGGTGTTTTCGAATGGCAGCTGAACGCCAGCAGCAACGAAAAAGCATACAACCTTTACGGAGATTCTTCAACTCAGCATGATAACCCAGATCTTGCTATTGCTTAGGACCCTGCACAGGCTACTATTACTATTACCTTCTGCCAGCCAACACACAAACAAACCCAAAGGAAGATCATGCTAGAGTGGTGAGTCTACAAAGACGGCGACAAGGGGAAAAGAAATTCGTTAACGGCCCCAACACGAAACCAATTGTAATTGGCAGGAGATTTTTAAACGCATCTACATTAGATTGGCTAGCTGAACACGAACAGCTAAGATGGCTGATGCACTAGCTAAGAGAACAACTTGACCCGCTGTAGGTGATCACAGGACTTGGAAGAAATAGGCTTCAACCTTTGGACGAGACTGGCGGTGAAGGTGTTCATTTAAAACTACTGTGCATGAGAAAACATGAGAAGGATATGCTAATTGTTACTAAAGAGGGGCTACAAGAGCAGTAAGCGCATCTATCCTCCTTCTAGCCAGGTACTGAAAATGCAGTATCATTTAGTAGCGCTTAGAATCACAGAATTACTTGTTAATCGCGAAGGAAATGCTCCAGAAAAAACAGACGGCCAATGTGATCGATGAAGGTGCATCTACATTGAAATACTTTCGAAGGAAAGCACTGCACTTGAGTAGGAATTCTATCGCTATAACAGCTACTGCGGGGAACTAACCCCTACAGCATCTCTCTTTTTAGCGAAAAAGCGTTTGATAAGGTTTATACAAGCACAGAAAACTTAGGAACTAAGTTCTTTGAGAACTGAGTATTCATTCACACTTGCTCGTGTGCCTTCTCCACCATACGCTGTGATGCATCAAGTACACCGTTTTTTTTCGGTAGTTTTAAGCAAATTTATAATATGAAAAACGTACAATACTCTTATGTAGGGCTTCAAGATGCACCATAGACCTGGGAGCCACTGTGCGTCAACCCGGAACCGTTGCCTGGGCCCTGCTGAGGCAGAAATATAGAAGTATTCTCAGGCAAAAGAGGGGTTTGTCAAACAGTTTACCCCCGCCACGGCCTCAACGTCTCCCATGCAATCCCCGCTTTTCCTTTTTATATCCTAATCTCGTGGAATATCGTGTTGTATGTTTACGTGAGTGTGCAGCCAGTGAAGGAAACTCTGCGATGCAGATGAAAATAAAGTGTAGTCCTACGTTCCGACTATCGCAAGGCAGGTTAAAAAAAAGCACAAAGGGCCTCACGACAACCGAATAATGCTAACTCTTCCTGTCCTCGCAATTATATATGCTGAGCTAGCGTTGAGACAAAACAGGCCCGCAGATGAAGCCCCACGATATCCCAGTCCTTGGGCTCTTTTCCAAGTGTTTCTTAAGGTTATATTTGCCTCTACCCCTTCCCTTTTGCGGCAGTGTATGTGTTGCCGTCCTAGTACATATTGAGAGCGCCGCCCTCAATAACACACACACACACACACACTTCTCGCAACGCGAATAGTGCATGAACTCTGTTTGTCTGTCTGTGTTGGCGCCTTCTGGGTTATCAATCAAGACAGCACATGGTGAGGTAACTATCACCCTCGCTGAAAAGGCAGGAGAAACCAGAAGTACTTTACTATTACCACAGGAACCTCTATATAAACGATTGCTTCGCTGTCAGCCCTCGTGGGGGCGACTAGCCCGGGAATGCTTCGCAGCGCAGGGCGTTTCGGGTAAAACAATCAAATCACATTTGTAAGAAAACACCACATAAAAGTCGTGAAGATGCAGAAACCGCCACAACTGCGCAGCTGCTCCGCGAGACAACCTACGGAGGGCAGCTTGCTCTTCGTGGGGGAGAGCACTAGACTGAAGCTGACGGCAACAGAGGAGAATATGCCTAGTTTCTAAAATTTTCGAGGCACATATATTCTTTTTCTTACATATTCTGCTTTGTTCTGTAGTACTTTGTACAGCTGGTAAAGACGACGACGCTCTCAGCAGCGGCGGGGAGGGCTACACAGTATGGAACGAGTGCTTGTCTGCTGCGGTGCAGTCGCATATTGCTCTCAGTGAAGAAAGCAAAATAAAAAGACAAAGGGTGTGCGACCTTTAAAAGATGAGACGGGATATTCGCTGCTGTGTGGGGCGTCAAGCGATAGGGGACAGAGATGCTGGCTGCTGCAGCAAATGCTGCGCGCACTGTTCTGGCATCTCACGACGTAACGGCCTAGATAGGTTGGCGGCGGCGGCGGCTGTGTTTGTGATAGTCTCTAAATTGTTTTTCCTTTTTCATTTTGCGTATATTCCAACCAAGTTCAAAGGCCTTGGCGACGCAAGACATCAGAATGGCTCGCAAGAGGCGGACTGAAGGAGAGGCGGCTGCTGCTGCTGCTGGCGGCGCCGCTCCTGTTGCTAACAGGGGAGGGCAACAGCCTGGGGACAGTGCCTCTAAACCCAGTGACGCAGCCTCAAGCAGCAACTCTAAAGGAGGCCCTGCTCATGGGCAGGGCCGCCACAGCAGGCAGGGAGGGGAGGCCGCGTCTCGCCAGGGCGTCGCGGTGTCCTCGACTGCAGCAGCAGAGGCTGACGGTAATGCTTCAATTCCCGGAGCATCTCTAAAGACTGGAGGGCCCGCAGCAAAGGACGTTTTAAAGGAGGCAGAATCTGCTGCTGGAAATCAGGACAGCTCTCCTGGGTCTGCGCTGCTGCAGCGCCGTGATATCGATATGACTGGCATGACAGCCAGCCAGAAGAAAAACCTCAAGAAGAAGCTGCGCAAACAGGAGCAAAGACAGCAAGCAGCAGAGCTGAACGATGCTATGCGCGTGGGGGCGGGAGCAGCCACCTTGGCGTCTCGCCTTAACAAAATGATTGAGGAGTGGACGGGGAGATTGACGGAGTTAGAGAATAGCATCGGGCAGGGAGGCAACATGCGGCAGACTATTGAAGCAGCGGAGCAGCTACAGAAGGAAATACTTGAGGCGCAGGATGAGGAGATGAGCCGCGCAAAGAAACCCATCAACAAACGCGCCACAGTTCAGCAGGTGCAGGAGAAGATAAAGGAAGCAGAGCTGACGATTCAGAAGCAGCAGAAGGAACAGCAGAGGCTGAGTGCTCAACAAGGCAAGGGGGGCGCCGAGGATAGGAGCGCTGAGGCTGCTGCCCAGGAGGCACGCCTTGAGGAGTCTCTGCGGTATCTCGCTCACCTCAAGGAGCAGTTGGTGCTGACGCAGCAGCAGAGCGACTTGCGTACGTTTCAGCAGCAAGTGTCTGAACTGAAGATATCCCTGGATCACACAATAAAGCAAGCTCGTAAGGCTGCACAGCAGGCGGCTACCGCCACAGACAACCGCAGAGTGCAGCAGCGGGAAGGGCTTCTGCGGCGTCGGCTTAAGGAGGTTGGAGCAGCAGTCCCTGAAGAAGGGGGAGCTTCTCTGATAACGGTTACTGTCTCTCTTCCTCCGGAGTCAAATTATATATTGCTTACTCCCCAAGGCCAGCCGTCCTTGCTGCTGCGCAAGATAGAGCGCAAGTTCGGGGTGCTGGCGGAGAAGAAGGGCGCGGGAGACCGCGGCGTTACTCTTAGCATCATCTCGTATAACCAAGGTGCATGCGACAAGTGTGTGGCTTTCCTAAACGCATGCAACTTCCCTCAAGTACCCCTGGGGCTCAGCACCTCCCCTAACTGCGTCTCTCTAGAGGGACAGAGCATTGGCGCCTTCATAGGCAGCGGCGGCGCCAACCTCCGCCGCTTAGAGGCTGAGCTCGACGTTCTCCTCTGGGTAGAAGACAAGTGGATCACCGTCTTGGGCCATGAGGCGGCCGTCAAGAAAGCCATCCCCCATATCAAGGCAAGCAGGCATTTCTCTCTCTCTCTCTCTCTCTCTATATATATATATATATATATATTTGCATGGGTACATGATATATATGTATATATATAATATAGGGTGATTAGGCTATTGTTATTTTGCGTTTTTTATCGTGACCCCGGTAACTCCAAGTTCTGAATTCTTGAATGCATTTATTACCCTCTAGGAAACTGTTCACTATATACATGTTTAAGAAGCGTGATGTGTGTAGTTGCATGAATTATCCTTTGCGTTTATCTTTAGCAAAGGTTTGCACAAAAGATGTTTTTTTGAATGGGTTGTTTCCTCAGGAGTCTCGATCTCCCCCATCGGCAAGCGACTCCTCTCAGCCTCAGCACAAGTGCGAGTTTGAGGCAGAGGTTGTTCGTGCGATGGCCCAGGGGACCTCTAAGACGCGGGCGAAGGTTCAGGAGGTGGAGAGTGCTTTGGGTGTTACAGTTCTTGTGAGGCTTCCTCGGCGCGGCGACACGAGCAAGACGGCTGCAGTTGTGGTGAAGGGCTCAGACCCTGAAGCCTGCAAGAAGGCTTGTGCAGATCTGGAGAAGGCATTTAAAGATTTCAGCTCCCAGGCTGTTGAATGCGACAGAGCTAAGGCCAGCAGGATTCTTCGTGGGGCAGCGGTGGACTTCTCCCACATTGAGTAAGCTGCTGCTCGTATGCTGTTGCAGCGTAGTAGAGCCGTCTTCCCTCTCTTGAGTTTCTACTTACTGTTCAGAGTGCAGTTCTGCCTGCTGGAACCACTTTGAACATGGGTGCGTCTTGTGGGTGGTGGTGTGCTGCAGTGGCCATGAGCTGATCTCGATTCTTCGGTATGATGATGGGGTGCTGCTGGTGGGGCCGTCGAAGGCGCTGCCTGCTGCTGTAGAGGCATTGCGTGCAGCTATGGATCAGCTGGCGCGTGCGACGGAGACGATGGAGATAAAAGCAACGCAGCTACGCATTGTGGACCGCGCGAAGCGGGCTGAAATAGAAAGCCTCAGCGGGGCGTCTTGCAGGCCACCCATCCACGACGGTGAGAGGGTTACGCTGACCTTCACGGGGCATCCAGATGCTGTGCAGAAGGCCCTCGAGTTGGTGAGAGAAACACTGGAGAAGCAGAAGGAAGAGGAAATGGAGCTGTCTCTTGCTGCTGCTCTTCTCTTTCTTGTGGACAAGACCCATCGCGAGCTGGAAGACGAACTCGGCTTGCGCATTCGCGTAGATGTCCCGAGAAAGGTGCTTATTGTGCGGGGCTTGACGGATGGCCACGACGCCGTTCAAGATGCCATTAAGAGGGTTGAAGAACAAGTCGCTAGTAGTGGCAAGGTGGCTACGACTGTGGCGGTTCCCCGCGAGGCGGTGCCTCTGATTCTGGGCCGCCAGGGAACAAACGTTCGTCGTCTGCAAAGCGAGTGCGACTTGGACAACATCGTCATAGAAGGCCGCCCGCAGGCGGTGTATCTCTTGGGTTCTCAAGCAGCAGTGGATCAAGCCACGGCAATGCTGCAGGAGATCGTTGCCAACAGCAGCGGCACACGGGCACAGAATGGGCTCGACGGAGGCGATAGACGCCCCAGACTAGGCGGCAGAGGACCAGGCCGCGGCGATCGGAATGATGCAGGAGGTCGAGAAGATGGAGCAGCTTCTAGGCGGCGGGGCGCTGGCGGCAAGCCAGCAGCTCCCCCTAAACCGTACAACGCTAGTGTAGACGATGAAACAGCGTTCCCCTCTCTAGGTGTTTGCATGGCGCGTCCGGGCGGTCGCTGGCAGAAGAAGTCGCCAGGCCCCGAAAATGCAGCAGCAGAGGCGCCTGCGAAGGCTAGCAGTGAAGCCGTAGCAGCGGAAACAGAGGAAGAGTCCGTCGGGGTTGAGGATAGTGCGAATTAATTGAGTAGTTCAGGTGCGGGTTGGTTGGCGCACCTACATGTAGAGCACAGCTTGTTTGGAGGTAACAACAGTGTGCATGCATATGGCGTAAAGTGGCAAGTGGACGCTTGACGGCAAGTTTAGATTATCTGTCGAACCCGGCTTTGCACGTTGGCGCTGCAATGGGCGGCCAGTCGCACTTGCTCCAAGAGCTACGATTGGTCTGCTTAGAAGCCCTCACTCAGCTTGGCCTCTCGGTCCATTCCCAGCTGGCACGTCTAGTCTAGTGGCTTGCGGGTTCATAGAGCCGATCAACCCTGTTTTCATTTGAGGGTTGACCGCTGCGCCGGCAGGTCGTCGCCGCTTAACCAGCTTCAGCAGCAGTGAAAGGAGGAAGTTGTATGCATTAGCAAGTATTATTGGGGGCTTCCTGCTGCTATAACGAACGAAGTAGCTCCTATAAATGACAACAGTCTTCCTCCGCTGCTCGATACTCGTGCAGCTCCTTTTTGTCGCTTTTCATCGCCGCAGAAACCGGCCGACTTAATTGGTGACCACGTTTCCTCGCAGCTCCAGAATTCAGAATCAGTGGGTAGCAGTTAACAATTTCAAGTGCTTTGTCCCACGAATTGGTCCAAGGTAAACATGCAAGGCCTGCTTGCTTCACAGGCTAAGCAGAAAAGAGCCAGTTGCGGCGGAGGTACAGAACGTTGTGCAGAGACTCTGCCTGCTGCAGTGCACGAGGTCTGTGCCCGGGGTCATCCTTGCAAAAGTCAAGCCCCGGCTTTGCTACCCATATTCTGTTCACTTCTGGCGCAACGTGCGACTTCCGGGTAGGGCGTGCTCCCCTCTCTACGTCTTTCGGCGGCTGAAGGGAGACCAGCGGTTGTGCAGATTCCGCTTTGCCGTTGCCCCCGAATTGCACCTAGACAGACAAAAGCGCACCCGGCCGCAAGTGCAGCATGCAACAGCAGCTACGACGTTAAGGTAGGGAGGCATAATTCCCGCAACTGCACACCGGCACTCTGACCTTCGACAAAAGCGAACACCCGTTTCTAAAGGATGCAAGGGCTCACCATAATTTCAGACAACCCGAAGTCGAGCAGCATGCGTCATCAGGCGTCTTGAAAACGACCTTAAGCTTCTGCCCACTTGAAGTTACGTCTGGGCGCTGCATCAATTGTTTACTGCCGCAAAACTGAAGAGGGCAGCGGCACCCCTCAGCGACGCCTTCGTACTTGTCGTCGGCTGTTGAACCCGTCGAGGGTCTTTTTAGGGGGGGTTCTGCACCGGACGTCCCCAATACCTGGACATCTGAATCTCCTGTACTCTCATCTGCCTGCAAGTGCCGCTTGGGGAGCAAATCAATTGTGTTGCAGACCACCGACATGATAAGTCCATTACGAAATGCGACCATATCCTGGAGCCCAGCGATTTGTTTCTCCGCAGTAGCTAAGGCCTGCGTCAACTGAAGTTGTGCGGCAGCTGCTTCTTTGTGCGCTGCCTCCATTGTTCGTTCTGTCCTCTCCAAAGTTTCCTTGAGCTCCGCTACCTCGGATATACTCTCCTGTAGTTGTCTAGTGACTTCGTCCAGTTTTTTCTGAGTTTCACCTTGGTCAACAAGCGCTGCATCGCGCTCGCTCGTCAGTGTTTGAGCTTCTGCGGTAGCCGCACGAAGTTTTTCTTCTGTCCGCGTAAGCTGTTGCTTCATATTGGTCTTACTACACTCCCACGCCTCGGCGTCTTTGATCCGCGAGGCCCTGATGTCTTCTACTTCAAAGAGGGCTCTCTCCATTGCCTCATATATGGCTTCCACCCAATGCCCTACTCCTTCGCGCGGGGCAGCGTTAATGCCTCCAAAACCCGCAGCTGTATCTGCCGCGTCTACCACAGTAACTTCTGCGCGCGGCGGCTCGGGGGCACAATCCCTTGTGCGGCTGTTGGGTTGCTCATCTGATACAGCCGTCGCTTGAACCTTTGCACTGTCGGTTGGTGCAGCAGGAGATATCCTTAGATCCTGTGCAAGTGTAGTAGCCGAAGGGGACCGCTTCGAAGAAGGAAAAGGGGAGAGTCTCCCCATCAGGCTGTTGCGGAGACGCCCCCTTGGGGTTTCCAAAGTCAACGCCGGGCCTACTTGAGGATCCAGGGAAGCGGCGTCCGAAAAGGCTCTGTTTGCACCCATCGTTGCTGCGCCGAGCATGGATTCTGGTCGCGCTGTAGATAGTTTGCGTTGGACTGGTGATCGTGGAGTTTCAGCTACCGTGAGATTTTTAATGACATCCTTCAACTCATTGATCAAGACTTCTTTTTCCGACGTTTCTGTTCGCCAGCGAGCTACCTAGAAGCATCCACAAGAAAATGTTCCGGCAGCTGCAGCAGAATGTAGAGTGCTGCTGCGTAGGCATTTACTACCTGCTGTTCCCTTAGAAACGAACTATATGGAGGTTATAAGTGCTACCCCCAGTGTATACTTTGCCAGCCCCAAAGTTGTTGCTACTCTACGAATATCCCATTGGTCTCTTGAACAAACTGAATGGGGAAGAGGGAGCCTTTACCTCTCTTTGCAACTCTTCGTTCTCCTTACTGAGCCATTCATTGCTTCTGCGCAGTCGCAGATCCAAAAGTGTGATAAACGCAAACATTGAGCAGAAACAGAACACCACGAAGAAAAATAACACCCGAAACAGCGGCCAACACTGAATGGCAGACAGTACCCAAGACTTACGAGGCTCGCTTGCACGGAACATCCGTCTTTTTTTGAACTTCTCGAACCGCCGGTCGAGCCGAATTGCTTCCCCCCCCGAGCTTTTCAACGCGGACGCGCAGGCTGTCCAACTCCACTTTAAGCATCTGCACCACGCCCATATCACAGCAGCCACTGTAGCGAGGTGTTCATGCCTAACACAGCAGAATTAGTAAACTGCACCGCGCCTAAAACTCAGTATACGCTTCCTTAGCTGGCTCTTATGCTGCTGCCTATATCCCCGTCATACAGCCTCTTGCAGGAAAAAAGTGAATATTCCCCACTACCAGCAGACTCTGTAGATCACGTCAAGGTATGCAAAGAAAAGCCGCACCGCATTTTCTCCCTGATACATGCCTAAGTTTTTTGACACCCGTCTTTGTTCACGTAGCTGTGTGTCTTTAGCTCTAAGTTCGGACTGGAGGTCTTCGTATTCTTCGAGCTGAAAAGAAAAGAGCGAATGCTGGGACAAGAAACAAGGACTTCCAGAAGAGAACCATTCCGGACTCTGATGCTATAATGCAATGATCTCCCCCGCTAGAGCGTCTACTTCATAAAATAAGCGAGATCACAGGGGAAAAGTGACCAACAGCTGCCACTGCCTAACGCCTCCCGTGAAAGTTACGCACCAATGTATCATTGCGTAGCCGTTGCTGCTCCACCTTTTCAGTCAACAGCTCATTGCTTTTGCGCAATTCCGTAACCTGCTCAACAACGACAGGCACTAGAAACACACAAAAGGTTTCAGATCGAGGAAACGATCCTTCCAAAAATGTCCTGGTCCTGGTTCACTGGTAAACCGAAACGGGCAGCCAAACGTACCGATATATATTTGTGTTGTACAATTCTGCACTACATGCTGATTACCTCTTGGGTCACTCCATGTAATTTTGGTGCGATATCCGAAGACACCATTTTGTAGATGTTTCTGATAAGCGTCATGAACGCGCTCCCCTCTTCGTCGCCCTCATCAGACAACGTTTGCACAGCTGAGCTCGACAATCTCCATATATGCGAATCAGCGAGCCCCCAAGACACTCTGCTACGGGAGGGCACTGCATCGCATCCGCACCAGCAACTTTGGGATTTCCAATGAATATTGAAACTAAGCCTGAATAGGCAGGGTACCAGAGGACCTTTATTCATCTTATTGGATTATTCCGAAGGCTTACGTGGGCAAGATTCAAGGGAAGATGATGAGTTCAAGTCAACAGGCTGAGAAGGAGCGTCCGACCAGCTTCGCTGGCAAACACTGCTCGACTTGCTACTGCTGAGCGTCTTAAGGTCAGCATCAAATCCTCTGAGCAGGTCTTCTATTTCAGAAAGCATTGCCTGTGCAAGTTCACGCCCTTTGCTCCTGTACGTCGAAAAGTCACTTGTATGCACGGTGTCCGCCGACGAGCTCGAAGAGAAGCGTCCCAGCGGCGTGCTTCCAGCTGTGGACCCTGGCATCTTCTTCAGCTGTTCGTACAATAAGCCACGCGCAGCAAATATAGGGTCACTAGGCCTCCCTCTATTTCCTGTCAACTAAAATAATAGCCGCTCCTCGACAAAACTAACAGCGCATGAATGCGGCAGGCGTACCAGCCCTAGGCAGCAAGACTTCACCCGGTTTCCCTGGTTCTGTGCTACTTCTTTGAACTTCTGGCTTTAAAATCAACAGGATCTTCTTCACTTGAAGGCACCGCTGCTAGCATCGGTTGTAGTGAGCAGGGCATGCGTCTCCGGCGAATCGAGCAAACACACTGTTCCTCCCGACACTGTTCAGACAGAGTGCATGCGCATGCGAAGCCGTCTACTAAGAAGTGAGCTTGTCTCTAGAATAATGAGACACCAGTTTTGCTGACAGATTGTATGTACCCGTGTACAGGTTCAGTCTCCAGAATGCTGCTGCACTGCTGCCCTTCACCCCGGCAACAAGGTCAACGAAGCGCCATTGAATTGGAGATGAAATGCAACAGGCTGAGTCTCCATAACTGAACAAATAGAAATCACCGAAAACGCGATGTCACCACACGCATAGTCGTGACCGCAATAGTGCTACGAGGATTCGTGCCAATGGCTTTCTTGGACGCGTGGAAGCCGTGGCTTCCCTGCAACTATCTTCGAGCACTAAGACCAATAAATAACTAAATAATAGCGAATTACTTCGCACACAAACAAGTGAGTTGCCTTCATTTATTTGTTGTGGCCCAGGAACCCGACATGGGGGATCTACTACCGCTCGATTGTGAAGCCGTCGAACAGTGCACTGCCTCGCGACACAATGAGCCCGAAGCGACCCTTGTCTAACCCAATTAATCTTTACAACATGAGATATTATGGTGGAAGTTCAATGTTTGTCTACCTTTGAATGGCATTTGGTAAGAAAGAACCACCCGCCCGTCTACCAACATCTCCAGTGGTGCGTCCTCGCCTGGATCATCCTGATGGACAGTTAACGCGAGAAACTTTTGCCCTCAATTATTGACTTTTACCACAGTAATTTGATGTCGAATAGATGGATTTATGTAGAAGATCGGGGCTTCAGCTAGGTTGGTTTGCACGCCTTCGTGATTGGTAGACAGGCTGGCGACCTGAGCAACGTGAAATGGGTGTTGAATGGCTTTGCTGAGGACCATTCAACTTACCCGTCTGCCGGTGTCGAGAGTTGCAGCGAAATAATCGGTCTGTCCTTTGGATCGGAAGATGATTCCTGCGGCCGAGGCGTCGCCTAGCCGGACGAAAGCGGTAATTCGAGCGACGTTGCACTCGTGGCCTTTCAGCAGTAAACTCGTCGGCTTAGACACTGCAGGATGCGCATGCATGCGCTGGATCAGAGGTGTTCACTGGATGCTCTAGATGAACTGGGTCTCACACGGTATCATCGCTGCAGGAGTGAGGCGCATGATTCCTAATTCTGAGAGATTGCGCCACTGCACAGGGTTCTCCCAATCTGTTGCGTTTAGATAAGACGTATCACGTCAACTGCACCAAGTGGTACTACCTTCGAGTGCCATTGCAGGATTGCTGTACGTCTCGCACAGAGGTGCTACCCCCGGAACTGGCCGGTGAACAGCAGCAGGGCCATGAGCTTGGTACTGACGTCCTGCTTTATCGACTGCTAAGCCGCTGACGACTCTGTCGCCTGGAGTGATTCCGCTTGATGCAGATTTTTCAACGCGGAAGAGCTCATTCTGAAGAATCAATTGGCGAGTTAGCGCCCCAAGTTCTCAACTACACAGCTTCTGTACGACGCACTTCCGCGGTGTGCACGCCGGTAAAAATTTCTTGCACGGGCTCAACTTCCACCACAGGGTTCTGAGATTCAGGGTAAAATGGAACGGCCTTTCGAGCAGTTGTGTACTCGAAATCTCGCGTTGCTGATGGGACCGAGTCGACGCTTTGATCATCATAATTCTGCAGGCATTTTGTCCCAGCTGTCAAAATGCATGCGCCATTAAACCGCATTTCTTTTCCACCCTACCACAAGCCAAGGCATTCGCTGGCGGCGATCTTGCAGCACATCCTGAGACGGCTCGCTCATTTATAAAAGGAATTAAAGGCGACCTCTTTTCAGCATACCTGCGGCCTAGACGATTTCTGTTTTGCCCAGAGCGTCCACGCGGCGGCGCGTGTACACCAGCACGCTGCTGTTGCAAGTGTCAGCAACAGCAGCCACAATACATCTATCATTAAGGAATACTTGCAAACAAATGGCTATAGCCACGTGACTCTGAACAAACCTTCCAATCGCGCTAGGTGGAGTTTGCAGATTGCGTTCAAGAGTTCTTCAAGCCGTCGAGACACCCCACGTATGCACGCATTCATGCTTTTCAGAAAGCATCACGAAATACGTATTCAGAAGCGGCAGTGTTCGAGGCAAAGAACTATACAAAGCCTGCTGTTGCCGTGTCGTACTGCAACTGCCGCTCCCCAGCCTCCTTGCGAGATGCTCTGGGGCAACAATACAGCTGTTACGCGGCGTAGAAATAAGGGAACAGTGGTGGAAGGCCTCGTCTAAAACATACACCACGCTTCAACATGTCATGTATGCTGATGTGCAATGCATATATATATGTATATACATGAAAGCTTCTGTGCAGCCAGGCGTGTACTAGTGTTCACATTTCACGCGCTTCCCGTTATGGGCAGTGCCGCTGAAGCAGCTTGAAAGGGCGCCAATGACGCAAAGACTGAATATGACTAAAGCAAGTTTATGCCTCCGCAGCATCCGATTCTTCCCCCGCCTGCCCACCACTGATTTCTTTGCCGTGCGGAGCCGGCGAGTCTGAGAGGCCCGAGCCATCGGAGATGGCCGCGTCGTCGTCGCTCGACTGGTGGTGGTTTACATGAATCCCAATGAGTGACTTCTGTACACAATCGTATGTACATATATATATATATATATATACATTTCGCAGACGCAGTGCATAATTATATGTTCATATACATACGTGCGCATAAAAATGCATTCACTGCACAGTTGATATTGCGAGCCCCTTCAACTGTGTCAGTCAATGAGAAAGGAGCAGTTGAACGCCTCCCTACGAAGAAGCAAAACCAGCATTCATTTCCTGCCTCACCATGGGTTCAAACTTGCTCGCGAAGCCACGCAGCAGTCTGTGGGACCGTCCCCTCCAGTTGTCGTACGTTTGGTGAATGCTGTTACGGAGTTTCTCGACGCTTTCGTCAAAGTGTACCCCCTGGGAAAACAAAAGCAGAAACCCAAGCCAACCCAAGGGAGTCTAGATGAATCCCATTATTCTGCGACGCCCGACACCCCAGATGGACCTTCATATGCAACTACTGAACCATTAGCTAGCAAGACTTGCTGATTCAAACCCTGCAACCCTCACCAAAGGTCGGTCCGTTAGCGTAACCTTCGTCAGCTCGTCAGAGACCTTCTCTCCCCAACGCTGCATGTTCTTCTTCATCTGCAAAGAGACAGAGAGAGGAACGGAAGCTACGTCAAAGGCCACACCACTCGCAAGATGAGGGCCTCACAAGCAGAAAGCAACCGTCATAAGACAAACCTTTATTGCATTAGCCTTCGTGTAGCCTATGTTCATGTCCCTCGGCTTGACACCGCGTGAGAGCGATCTGCAGCAAACGCGCCCACACCCCCACCAGCTCACGCAGCAGCAAGAACATTAGGGGGCCTACAGACAGAAGATAAGGTGGCTCCCTACAGCAAGACAGTTCAGACGAACCTGTCCACATAATCCTCGTAATTCTGAAGGATGCGGACGATGATGTCCGTCGTCGAGACACCCTGGGTACGCACCGTCGCCCTGAACTTGTTCTGAAAACAAACGGCGAGTGGTCCACACAGCAATGACGTGCTCAGTGGATATGGAAGACGAAAGCAAGGCAAATAAAGCAAGCAATGGCTCGGAAGAAACCAGAAACTATGTCCTCTGAAACGCAAGCAAAAATACACTTACGCTGCTCTTTAGCCAGCCGTATATGTCACCGCTTTCTGCCTCTGTTGGGCTGCTGTTTTTCCTTCTCTTTCTATCGTCTTTCTTCTTATCTTTGCTCTTCTGAACAGCAGAGTAGGGCTCGGCGTCATGAGCTGCCAGCAACGCACGCATAAACGCGCATACACTTGTCACTCCTGCAAGCCACATTTTCATTTCTCCCATTTCCCTTTTCCTTCTCGCACTTCAGTGCCCTCGCATGCCTTAACGTTGGATCAACCAGAAGAACGTACGCTATCACCAGTTAACGGCCTATAGTGAAAGCAACTATCTCTGAAAGAGAAACCAAATGTTGCACGAATTGCAACACTTCAGCTCACCAACGTAGTCGATTCGATGCTTCTCCACAAACTCAGGGGTGATGATCCACGGACAGGGGGCAATGACCTCGTCTACCCACTTTATGTGACGAAGGGTTTCAGCTCGTTCTTCTAGACTCTGCACAGTCTGGCCTTTCAGCCGATGCGTTTCTTCATCAGAAGCAACTCCTGCCATTAAGTACACGTGCTTGAACATCTTCTTGGCCTGCTCGAGCTGCCGCATGTGGCCAAGATGCAGGAGATCATAGACTCCTGCAGATCACACAAACCAATCCCACGACCCAGGCATGACCAAGCCGTGTGCAGCACGGCCACGAAGCCTGTATGCGGATTCTCCACCTCCGTAAAGCACCTCACCGTCGGTATATATACGGACAGGCCTCTCGGGATCCTCGCCTTCTGCCAGCTCCACAGGGGCAGTGCCCTGGGAGTCAGGCTGCGGGGAGAGGTCCTCGCTAGCCTTGCGCTTCTTCATAGAGGGCCTCGGAGGTGGGGGGACGGGTGCTTCCCCTATGTTTGTTGACTCAAATGCGCACAACAAGGCGCAGTGGCCTGCACTGCAACTCAATTGAGCTAGCTGGATGCGGGTGGAACGCAGAGGGTAGTTCAGGAAAACAACGCAGGACAGCTCCTGCCTTATGTCAACAGCATATACGGCGACTGCGTGCTCTGATCGTGTCACGCTGGAGACGCTTCGCGCCCAATTAGCGGGGCAAGAAACTCTATATTAACAGGGGGAAGACATTTGCGGGCGGTCTTCGCCGAATCAGAAAACGCGGTGCAATCAACCGTGTTATGGACGCATCGCGCTGTGCCTGAAGGGCCGGCAGCCGCAGCAATGCAATGCCGCTGCCACTCCACTGATTTCGAGACAAAGAAAACAACACCCAATTATGATGGAGATAAAAGCTGCTAAACTAAACTGGGTCAGGCTCACTACAAGACCAGCACGAGCCCTGTTGTCGGCAAGGCACAGGCAGCCCTACTGGGGCTGAAGGGTCGGTGTTCTGTGCTGATGATAGCCATCGAGTTATTCTTCCCTCTCAAACAATTAAAGCTGTAGAAAACACACTTCAAATTGCAACAAGGGATTGCAGAACTGAAGCCGTGGACTCATGGGATGAGCAGAAGATGCAGCTTCACCCGTTCACCTGCATCTCCGCAGGGTTGTCTGTCTGCTTACTGTACCGACGGTCCGTGCGCTGCAGTCGAGCCAAAAGGCTCAAGGCAAGAGTCCCTTAGAAGCAGCTCACTTCCTCTCCCATCCCCAGACGTTCTGGGCGCAGCGGCCCAAGGGCCTGAGGTTGTGGAAAAGAGGTGGCCTGACATGTTGCAAACCATTTGGTTGCAGCTTATGTTGCAAAGTACCTTCACATGCAGGGACAACCAAATCTTCTCTTGGTGTATGCAACAGACCTGTAGGTTACTGCCGTACTTTTGTTTGGGTGCAGGCACGAAGGCCACGTAAGTGTCTATGTACGAACTTTGTACATCTTGGTAGACTTAGTTTAGGCGCCTGCATGCCTTCTGTTCGAGATAGCCAATGAAGGCATTAGCTTCATACAGTGCAGCAGCTTGCCCCCCAATGCATAGGCTTAGTATGCTGTTTGCGAAAGGCTCGAAAGTTCCGCACGGCTTTGACGCCTCCGTATGCAGCTGGAGCTAGTGGATCAAACAACAGTATCCTCATTTGAGTCCTTCGTGGTGCTATTTCTAATGCCCCCTGTTCACTGACCTGTTCCCGTTTTCTTCACTCTGTATGTCCTCTGCGCTGACTAGCCATGACACAGCAAGCTTCCTCCCTGCAAAACTTCAGTTTAGTGCAGCACAGGCTGTGTAGCCTGCGCCAACCGAAGGCAGGACATGAGTGTATAATTGCGCGTAATCTGGCTACTGAGGATCAAATGAGTATTGGACCATCGTCTAGAGTCTTACTGCAGAATCGAAAGGAGCCTTTGGTATATTTGCATGTACTGCCTTCCAGCAGGAAATACAGGAAGGTGTGTCGTAACCCACGGCAGGCAAGCTCTTCACCTAGCCTGACCTTGCGGCACTGCGACCAGCACATCTGGAGGCCGTAGGGGAGATGGGCCGGTTTTTGTTGACTCCAGTCCTGCAGCTCGCGACGGTCCTCAGCTAAGGCCGATAGCTCTTGTTACATGCGGTAGCACCGCATGGCTGAGAGGGACAAGTGCGAGCTGCATATCTCGTCCCCACAACTGGGAGGCCTGGCGGCTTCTGCCACCTCAGCTGAGAAGGAAGATAACGGCTCTCGAAATGACCCACGTGTAGGGCCGACGGGCATTGGGGCTGTGGGAGGAATGTCAGCCAAGCCGAGGTAAGCTACGAAGCGAGACCGTACCACAACTGGCGGATCTGGCATTGGAAAGGGGGATGGAACCAATAACCGGCGCATTTGCTTTTTATGCAATAAGCAGTGTCACGTAATTCGCGAAAAAGTGTTTCGAGCACGACTGCGAGCAGCACTGCCACAAAAAAAGCACCGCTGGAAATGCCCTGGCCCGCACCAAACGTGGGGAGCACTGATGGTATGGAAAGAGGTGATAGCCGCACTTTCTGATCCTCCTCAAGTTATTTCTGTGCTCATTCTGCTTCGTGCGAATGGTCAGAATTCGCTGGGGGTACTTGGCACAGGCTCCGGAGTGGATCTGGTACTCGACCCTACTGCAAGATGGTCCGCCTACCTGTGTATTCGTTGGCGTAGTCCCTGTCACTGCGTTTCTCCAACGGCAGACAAGACAGGCATGCCGTGGGTGAACCTGTGGAGAGTGCACATGCGGCCCCCAAACGACGCCAGTGAGGTCAACGTACACGAAACCAATGAGGGAGTGCGCATACCGGCGCTCTCAACAGCATTTACATCCCTTGCTGTAAGAGGAGTGGAGCCAGCATCCCCAGGAGAAAGCCGCGCGGAGGCTCCAACCCAATGAAGAGGTGTTGCAGGAAACTGCCGAAATGTGCACGCACTCGATCAGAGAAACAGGGAAAGTGCGCACTGTCAAAAGGAGAGTTCCCAGTCATGTTAAAATAACGACTAACCCCCACCAGCCCGGCCTCTCGCTGGATACCCACTGGATGGCATCGGCCTCACTCCCGGCGCAGCCCCAAACGGCATTCCGAGGTGCACGCGACCCCTGTATCTTTAGGTGGAGATGGAGAAAGACGTAGACGAGCTGGTAGGGAAGGACAAAATAAAACGTCAAATAGCACCTTTCGAGACAGCAAGGTATTAGCAAAGTAAGAGCTGGCTTCACGCTCTTGAACAAAATCATTGTGAAACAAAAGTTTCCAGTTGCGCAGATCGACGAAATACTTGACTACCTGCAGGATTCAGAAGTCATTTGGTTTCCTTGCGTTTTCTCAGATACCCATGCATACGAACGGCATTCACCACTATGCTTAATACCCGCATTCGCAATGTAGAATACAGTTGCATGCCCTCGGGGAAGGTGAATGCATCTGCCGAATTCCAGAGGCAAGGCTATCACGATTTCGCGGGACTAATCAATGAAGGCTAGACTGTTGTACGTATGGATAGCGTATGAGTGCTCAGCAGGACTGCCCAGGGGCACTTGGAGCACCTGCAGCAGGAGCGATAACAGTAACTTGAGAAGTAGTGGTTTGCAAAGACGCGTGTGCACTTTGCATGCAAATTGTGTATGTATTGGGACTTCATGGCTCTTCAGCAGGGGGTAGAATAAGATACAGGGAAGGGGGAGGCCATTCGGTCGCTCTCCCTGTCCAGCCGAATGAACAGTTAAAGGTTTCTCGATATCACATCGTACTAACGCAACTTCTTCCCTGGGCTGGCGTGCACTGCCGTGTCCCCAATGGACCTCCTAAAGGGCAAATAATTTATTTGGACAGCGCCCTCCACGCGGCTGTGCAGCAGTAGCAGTAGGGATTGGGGGATGTTCCTTGCCACTTTCTCTCGGTTGCAAGAAGACCCAAGATATCGGAGTCCCTATATGGCGCGACCCACTTCCTCATAGCGGTCTTTCTGCGGCTGGAGAGGCTGCAGGGTTCAGGCAGGTCACCGGGTCTTGCGCTACGCCGGGGTAAGTTCTTCCAGCCAACGGAGGGCCGGTGTGCGTCGCATAGATCTTACACTGCCCCTCCAACTGCCCTCAGGGCAGCTGCATCAACTTGAAACAGCAGCAGAGCAACGCACTAGGCAAACAGGTGCGTGTTCCCCTGAAGCGAGAGTGTGGGGGAGCATGGCCTGAAATTGGCATATTTAATTGGCATATTTTTACTTTTGTGCAGGCTGGCTACAGAGAGCAAAATAAGTGTTAAATAACTGTCTACACTGCTACTGGGTGCAGCAAAAGGAGCCTACCTATGCTCACACCTGGGGACGCCTTGCAGCAGAAGTTGCAGCCCATGTCGGCCTTTCCCCGCCTTTCCCTCCACCCCAGTAGCAGGTCCTTATGCTGCTGTACCCAGGACCGCTTGGAACTTGAGTGTAGAGTATCTGCCTCTGCATATTAATTTTCGAAGAATTCGCCTGCACTGCATCTCCCAGCGGCCCGCATCTAAGGCCTAGGGCACTCAATGGTCGGAGCACGATAGCGTAGGGAGCAGCAGCCGCATATTTGTGCAGAGCCGCATGCAGATATCAATATATGCAGCTAATGCGTTGAATTCCACTTTCTATGCATTGCAGAAGGTGTGCAACAGCGCCTGACTGAATGGCATACAGATCGATGCAATGGACTTTGCGGGCGAGAGCCGCTCTTCTGGTTTGCGCTGGGTTGGGTTTCTTTGATTCTTCAATATAATTGTTAATTTGTTGGCAATTATTAATATAATTGCCCCTTTCTTAATGATCGTCATCGAGGCAAAAGAGAGGAGGAGGAACGATCAAGGAGTTTCTGTACAGCCTTGTTCCGTTGCAAGACGGTAGTTAGTGAGAGCCGCTATGTGATATGGTTGAGCAGAGCGCCTCATCTTTACATTTTAAATTGTATAAATATTAGATACATTATTGATGAGCTCCATTTAATGTGCCTTTTCTCTGGTTTCGCTCACAGCACCCTCCTCGTCGCACTTGGTATCGAGAACACCTCGGTGCGGGCTTGCGCCCCCATTCGAGGCTGCCGTGGGGTCTGTGGCGGAAGAGGCATTCAGTTAAGAGAATGAGTTGTCTTCCTCTTTTGAACAGTATCTATTCTTTGTTCTGCGCATTTACACCGAATCCTCCTCCTAAAATACCTTTGAAGATGACGAAGTGAGTGATCTATTTTGATTTCGTGTTGGCCGTGCTATCGCGCCGTGCGCGTCTGTTCATTCGTTTCCTATGTATTCCTGCACTATTTCTCCCCCTTCGTAGAGTTGTATGGCTAACTTTCTTTGTTTTATGCAACACTTTCTGCTTCTTGTTCTGCACGCAGCGGACAACCCCTCGGCAGCGCTCCCATCGTAATCGGCGATGATGTCCGCTACAGCCCAGACGACCTACTGCTGCCCAAGCAGTATCACAAATACATCGAAAATATAATTATTCCGAACGGGCTTCTTATGGACCGCGTGGAGAAGATGGTGAGGCTGTTGTGTATTGTTGATGAAGAGGGAGATCAACCAGCTTGCTCAGGCATTGTCCTTATACTCCTTCTACCCTTGAAGTTGCCCATTGAGCCCTATTCATTCGTGTGTGATTGTTTCCTATTAATATGGGTGTTTTTGTTATTATTTATCTATGGAACATTGTTTCATTCTGCTTATTTTGAATGCAGGCCTACGATATCCGGAAGGCGTATAGGAACAGGGAGCTGCACTGTCTGTGCTTATTGAAGGGCTCTCGCAGCTTTTTCTCTGCCCTCTTCCAGCACTTGGCGAAGCTGAGTCTGTACGATGAGGAGGCGACTTGCCCTCCTTTCTTTGAGCATTACTTGCGCGTGAGTTCTTGCGTGGGTACAGAGAGCACCAACCAGTTGAAGGTGGTGAGCGATGATCTCTCCTGCCTGAAGGGAAAGGATGTTTTAATTGTAGAGGATATCATAGACACAGGACTCACCCTTACAGAGCTGCAGAAATACCTGCAGCAGTTCCAGCCTAACAGCGTTCGTATAGCAACGCTTACACTTAAGCGTACTACTCGTTCAAATGGGCAGACAGCGGACTTCGTCGGTTTCTCTCTACCGGATAAATGGGTTATTGGGTTCAGCTTCGACTGCAACCAGATGTTCAGAGACATGCCTCATGTTTGCACACTGAGTGATAACGGCAAAAGGCTGTTGGGTCTGAAGGTGTAATTGGGCTAAAGGTCTGAATAGTGAGTACAGCATTACAGGTGGTGGTGGTCTTTCATCTCCTTGTCGTTTATATCTTCCCCAAAGTATTGCCTTTTTAAAACCAAAAAGGCCCCCCAGATTAAAGTCGGGAGAATGAAGAGGAGATGATGAAGTGATGATGATGTACCTTTGCTTGAATTACTATTGGGTTTGTTTGTTTAGAGCAGACCCTTTCCGTTGCGTGCGTTTTGGAGTTATGCATCATCAGAATAGATTTAAGTATTAATTAATTAAGTTAATGGTTGAGAATTTATTCGCCTGGCGCTGCATTTGCCTTCACATGTTTATGTTTTAGTTGCTTAGGGGATATACAAATAATAACAGAACCCTAAGGAGGGCCGTTTATAGCCCAACCCCTAAAGACTGGGGGCGTCTTTGGCATTACACTATGAACGAAAACTGTTCAGAAACCATTTATTCACTTGAGGGGATCAATTATACAGCGATTTATGCGCGCAACAAGCACCGCACTTCTAGGTATAGATATATATGCTATATACATCCATAGTATATATCTATATATATATATGTAGGGGGAGAGAGATAGGACACTGATTGTTCTTAGGTATATATATATATATATCACATGCTGCAGAGCAGAAGCATTAATATTAGACTTCTCGGTAGAGGCTGGACAGGGAGAGAACCAGTCCCATCCCTGAAGGGAACCAACTCTAAATAGAGTATTTGATTATTTGCCAAGGAGGAACGGCCGTAATTCGACTGCAATAGAAACCAAAGCAGAAGTAATTATATTGAAGACGATCAATTCTCCATTGAGCAGAAAGTGTTCTAGGTCGACATATATATATATATATTATATATATATATATATATATATAGAAGCATAGATAGAAATATGGAACACTGAACTTAGAAGTATACCGTGGTAGGTTGATTGATGCCATTTGCTGAAAATGAACAGAAACAGTTTTAAATTTGTCGACGAGGTAAACAGAAATAGTACAAACTCAATTTACTTAGGTATGCTGATAATACGATGTGCTAAAAAGAAACGCAAAGAGACTTTCAAAGGGATTGGTGTACTATATGTATACATCTATTATATAATATATATATATATATATATATATAATACGTATAGGAACATCAAGTAATGCAGCGTGCATGAATATATATATATATATATATATATATACATTTATGGTGTTATTTGCTAAAAACAAGAGTCTTAGACTGTTATGCTGTTTGTTAGTTTACAGTCTCTCCGTTGATGCCGCTCAGCGGCGAAGGTCAGCGGTGTGGGGCAAATGCAGAAAATGAAGAATTCTATTAAGTAGAATAAAATAAAAAAGAATAATAACAATAGTCAAGTTCTTGTATATTATTATATTATGCCCGAGTTGTTTGCATTATACACACATATTCTACTATATACAAATTATTCGTATATCATATGCATGTTAGTCGTCATTATATTATAGACAAGTTACAGACAAGCTACTTGCCTATAACTTGTCTATAATATAATATACAAACAACTAGAGGCGTGAGGCCTAGGCGGTTCTGAAGGGCTGCGGTGTACATACACCTCGCATAGATTTGCGTTTTCTGTTTTGTCGTTCATCGTGGAGAATAAAAAGAAGTACTTCCACAACTAAACAAACCACCGAACATATCAGACCCACAACCACCCGCTGCAAAGCACACAAAAAACACAGAAAGAAGATATTCACAAACACAATATAAATGCATGCATGCAAGCAGCAGCAGCAGCAGCTTCAGCAGCAGCAATATCGCTGTCCCGTCACACGCAACGAGCTCAGGAAAGAAGTGCAGCCGGGATGAATGCATGCACAGCAGCAGCAGTAGCAGCATGAGCAGCTTCAGCGCTAGGTTGTTATTCGTTTCTGCTGGTGCTGGTGCTGCTGCTGCTGGTGCTAGAGTGCAGCGGTTTGCTGCTGCGCCTCCCCCTCGGCCCCCCCTTCCTCACCGTTTGAAACGAACTGACGCCGCTGTACAGTGCTGCCCAGTAACCTCCGAGGAAGGTTAAGAAAATGCCAAGGAGTGCATTTACCCCCATGCTGCAGCACCGCAAGCATGCACTCAAACAACCGGTGACCTGTCTATACACCTGAGCTGCCGACTACGCACCCACTTCGCTTTGCCTATCCCCGCTCCACCAGCGCAGCATTCCACATACTGCAGCACTGTGTGCATGCATGCATACTGATGCTGGAGAGTGAGGGTAGCTAGCTATCAAGTTGGGAACCAAAGGGACAGAGAAGAGCAGAGAGGGAAAAAGAAAGAAAGATAAAGAAATACGAAGAGGAGACGCACGCCAGACTTCTGTTTAAATCAGCGAAGCTGTCGCTGCTGTCTTTCTTCTCTCCTCTTACGCTGCGGAGGGCAGCCTGATGTCTGCGTTCGTCTGCTTCTAATCTCAGCCTTTCTTTAAAACTCAGCGAATTTAAACAAACAGGAGGAGGATCAATACGCCCTAATAAAACAATCAACATCAAAAAGAAAAACCACAGACAAAACAAAACGGAAACGCTACAGACAAGCCAACACACACCCCACAAACAGCAGCAGCAACTGCAGCAGCAACAGCAATAGCAGCAGCAGCAGCAGCAGCAGTAGCAGCAGAAGATCTGGTTGGTGCAGCAAGCGCTGCTGAGACGCAGGCGCATAGAAAGCGACAAAGACAGACAAACAAACACAGAAGTAAACGCAGACACAAAGACAAACATACGCACGAAAAAAGACAAACATAAAGACAAAGAAAAATAAAAGGAAAAAGACAAAGGCAAGCACAAAGACGCATGCAAAGACAAACTCTAACACCACCAGCAACACCAGCTCCTACCAACGAGGTGAGACCCTTCAACAAGATCGCTCATTAAAACCCTCTCCTCTGTCTTTCCTGCCTTTGCATTTGCTGCTTTTACCTGAGAAGAGGAAGAAGAAAAAAGCAACAGAGAAGACAAACGAAGACAGACCCAACATGATGTCTGTGCTGACTCCGCTCTCTCTCTGAGCTTCATTCAAACAACTACACAAAACATGTAGCAGCAGCACCAGCAGCAGCTGCAGCAGCAGCAAACCTTCTTCCCCCTCACCAGCTGCTGCAGCACATCCAACTCTATAGTCTCGTTTAGTATGAGGTCCCTGCGCTGCTTCTGAGGGACGCGACGCTCAATGAACTCCTTAATCTTCGGAGTCAACTCTATAAACAAACGAGCACCCGGCCGCTGCTGCTGCTGCTGCTGCTGCTCCGGCTGCTGCTGTTGTTGCTGCTGTTGCTCCTTCTCGGGCTGCTGCTGCTGTTGCTGTTTCTGCTGCTCCGGCTGCTGCTTCTGTTGGTGGTTAGACAGGGTGCTGCTTTTGCTAGCTTTGCTTGCGGACTCCTCTCCTGCATCTTCTCTTCTTCTGTCTGTGTCTGCTGCAGCTTCCGTCTCCTTCGCTGTCTGTGCAGCCGTCAATTCAATACCCCCATCATCATCATCATCACTGCCAGCTTCCTTTTGCTTTAAACGAAACTCAGAAGCCCCTCCTCTGCCTCTTTCCCCTGAGGCCGGTTCCTGAGGCGGCCTGCGGCGCCGCAGCCCACTGTGAGCTGCTGCTGTTGCTGTTGTTGCAGCAGCAGCAGAAATGCAAGTGCTGGGCTCATCGCCTTCTTCGTGCTGCTTGCCCATGACGCAACGAGAGGCAGAGGCAGCAGAGGGAATAGGAAGAAGCGGCGCCGTCTAAGCACTCAGGCCAGCAGAAGAAGAAACCCCTGAGTTAATGCATTACAGCTAAGAGAGTGGATTTCTTGCCGTTCAAATAACTCCTCTGAAGACGCAGGCCTTAAGGACGGAGAGAGAAGGGACAGAAACCGTCTATCCACAGGGAACGCCTCAGGCCCACAGCTTCTTTCCGTAGGGAGTGGTGGGGGGGCGCAGAGGGTCGCAGGACAGCTAACGAAGTGAGCTCAAGAAAGAGCTGTACACAGGAAGCCTTCTGCTTGCTGAAGATCTCTTCAGTTCCTCTCCAAAGGTGCAGCAGCCTCGGCGCGTTGAGTTTCGTCAAGATGGCATTGGAGGCCTACGTTCGCCACTGAGGGCAGAGAGAGACTGGAGGCGGAAGGGAAAGATGGATCTGCCTTACACTTCGAATAAATAAATAAATCAAGCGAGAAAGCGGAACCATTGCATTTGCATGCGTACACCGGAAGCCGGCGGCAGCCCTCGGGCAGCACGGTAAATATGAATGCCAAGCTACGGGAGAAGGCCCAAGGAAGCCTTGTATATTGTCTCGACCGCTCTTCTTCTTGTTTAATTCCTAATGAAATACAAGTGCAGGCAAACACAGCTGGAAAGAGAATTCACTACTAAGAAAGCCACGCTTCAGGTGTTTCCGGCGGCAGCTGATCCGCGTGCTCGGCAGCGGCTGGGAGAGGGGCGGCGGTTGGCCTATATGCGGTTAAAAGCGATGAATGGCTGCAATATATACGTGATAAATTTCATTTATATGTAATGCTGCATTGAAAAAACCGAAATTACGCTTAGTTGGAAGGGAGAACTCTGGCAACATGAGAAGATCGACGGCGCTGCCTGTGCTGGGCTAGTTGGCCCGGGTGTACGTACATTCAAGTTCAAGATGCCTTCATGAGTTCCTTCTGCGAAGGCTGCTGAGACATTCCTCCTAATTGTGTTGTTTATGAGTTCTTAGTGCTTTTTAGCAGATACCCTTCTGTTTTCTCTGCTTAGAAGCGTATTACTCTCCACTTTTCCCTTCTTCTTTGCAGCCGTCAGTCACCTCGCCCGAGTCGGCGGTGGCTCTCGAGTCTCGGCGGCGCTTCGGCTGAAGGTTTTTTCTCCATTTCTCCTCTCACTTTCAAAGCAGAATAGGGAGAAGAACAGGTTCTTGCAGCTCGTCAAAGATCTGGTCTTCCTAAACGCAAACACAAACACGAGCACAACGAGAACCAGAACCGCCTTCAGGATGCCGCATCCCGACGTAGGCAACAGAGGGCGTCAGCGACAGGAAAACCCAGCAGATGCCGACCGAAATGTCAATCTGCAGATCTCTCAGGTGGCTCAACTCTTCGCTCGTCTGCAGCAGGTGGGCCTCTAAACCCTCTCGCATGCACACTTCAAGTTCAGTGGTAGCAGCACACTTGCGTGTGCGGTGCTGGTGTTACTGCTGGGTTTTACGGGATAAATAAACTCAACAGTAGCAGCACATGTAATCATGCCTGCCTGCCTCACATATGCTTTGTGCAAATATCTGCTGTGTAAATACACTCGCAGGAAATCGAAGAGGCCTGCCCCAGAAACGCTATTCACTTTATTGTAGACTTCCTTTGCAAGCATTACCCCGAACACCTCAAGGGATTCGCCTCTGTCTGGAACTCTGGTGAGTCAAGCACGATCTTAGGCTGCTGTTGCTGTTGCTGCTGCTTTACGGTTGCTGCTTCTGCTTCTGCTTCTGTTGCTGTTATCTCTGAAGTGCTGTCAGTCCCTGTCTACTTTTTTCTCTTGTGCTGTTTTCGCGGGTTCTGGTGGGGACCGGAGCCCAAGTAAGAATTGAAGTAGTAAATTTCTCTCTGTATGTTGTACACCAGAACATAACAATAATGTAGCAATGTATATGGTAACCAATATACAATACAATGCATCATAAAATAATAATATTACCTTTATTTTCTGTTTTCCGTTTCTCCTTCCTCCAATTAAATAGACCCTGAACTCGAGAGGGAACGGCTGTTAGTCGTTGAATTCTTCAAAGCTCAAAAACTGCCAACTGACGTCGCCTCGCATTTCACCAATGCCGGATTCGATACAGTCAGCTTCCTCCCCAGTTGCTGCTGCTGCTGCTGTTGCTGCTGCTTCTGTTTTTGCTGCTGTTGCCTGTTGCTGCTGGTGCTTTTGCTGCCGTTGCTCGTGTCGTTTCTGGTGCTGCTGGTCCCGGTGCTGCTCTGTACAGACAGTCGAGTTTGTACTGTTTTTGTTTTTCGTCTCGTTGTTCATTGGGATGTATCTGCACATGGCATTTGGCTGCTCCTTTCGCGTGGATAGCGGCGCCTGTCTGCTTGTGGTGTATGTACACCTCCCTCTTCTGTTCGTTTATTGTGCAGCTCGAGACATTGTGCACGCTGACTGCTGAGTCGTTAGACGACATCGAGAAGTTTAATCAGACTCGGTGGCTGCCTGGACACAAGGTGCGATTGCAGGTGAGGTTAAGGAGTTTCTTTCTTTCTTGAACGAAAGAAAGAATATACTTGCTTTCTTTTGCCTCTGGGTTTTGTTTTAAAGTGCTCTTGTTTCTTCTTTCCTTCTTTCTAGCTCTTTTGTTCTTGCATTTGAATCTGTTTTTATAGAGGGTATTTGGTGTGTGAATGTCTGCGGGTGTGCGCAGCAAACATTCGCTGATATTGCAGGGAGGGTTAGGGCCTTCACAGAGGAAAGAGATTACCTTATTCGAGCTGCATCGGGGTATTGCCCTCATCCTCAGTTGGTGAGCAAGCAGAGTCTCTGCTTGCCTGTGCAGAGTTCTTCGCTTCCTTCTTCTTTTCCTTCTTCTTCTGGCCCTTGCTGCGGCACTTCTCCTCTGTCAACCCAATTGCCTGTGACGTACCGCACTGCAACGCCAGCCCCATATGCGACGATGTACAGCCCCGCAGCACCGACGCAGGTGGTTACGTATGCAACAGACTTAGCTAGAAATTAATCAGCAATCATTCATTCATGCATCCATATAGTCTGGATGCATTCATAGTGGCCGCTCTTAGTATTAACACGCAGTGCAGACAGATGAGGGCATCTTCAAGGCAAAAGGTCTTCTTCTGCCCACCCTTCACCACCTCTACCTGCACGGAAACGCATACGAGCGAGAAACGCATGCATGCAACAATCATCGGATGGCATGCAGCATTTAAAGCAGCGCCACCAGAACAAAACACTTTTCTCACTTGAACGATTTAGCCCTTCCTCTCTATACTCAGCTGAGCTCTTTGGCTCAACTTCTTTTTGCAATTTCTAACTCTGTAGTTCCGCAATTTCTGAAACCGGTGAAATGTTTCTGAATCCAGTAGTGCTGAACAGTGTAGTTGCTGCCGATAAGAAGCCATAAGTACACTTAAGCAAAGAATGCAACTATGAAAACATAGCTAATGATGTATTCATCAACTCCTCCGTCATCAAGACGATCGAATATAATATGCGTTACACGCGCTGTACGGACGACCTGAAACTCACAGCGCAGCTTACCGCGTTGAATATGCAAAGTTGGGATAATACGGCATCCCTTATGGCCATATTAATCTCCTTTTTAAGGCCAATTGTCCCACGAATATCCTTTTCAAAAGGAGTTTTTAAAATCATGTTCCCTTATGGTTTCCTTGCTGGTGTTACTGCAGCAGCGCTTGCTGCTCAGCGGGCGACGGCTGATCTACCGATTCACGCCTTGGTTGTGAGCTTGTTTGATTTATTATTAATATTACTTTGCTCTGCAAAGGCGTTGCCCGCTGCAGTCCGACGTCGTAGGGACCTGGAGATTCGTTCTGGGTGCTGAGGAAGCAGACGAGCCGCTTGCATGCGGCGGCGGCTCTCCCAACATGAATATGGAGAATTTAGACCCGAGTAGGCAACTGCATTCGATTTGGGGGTTTAAAGAAGACTCTGAGTTGTGTTGCATGCGCTGCACGCACTCGTTCTCTTATTTCATACACAATGTAATTTAGGCGTAGAAGACTTTTATTCGTGGGCGAATGAGGAAAGCGGCAAACAAGGGCTGAGTACGCGCCTTGTGCTGACGGATCAGCGCGCAACTCGTACGGAAACACCAACGAGAAGAAGATGGAGTTTCTTAGTCGTGACGCTTCCCGGCAGCGGCCTGCAGATCGGCACCTGGACAATGGTTTACGACGAGGGCTTTGAAGTGGGACAAACTCTGGCTTTGTGCTGCTGTTTCTATTTCTTTTTCTTTCTTCGTGTTCTGTAGAGATTAGCACTTGGGGGTTCAGGTGAGGATTGGCAAGAAACGGTTCTTCGGCCTTATGAAATACAGCAAAGCTGGAGGGGCAGAATGCAGAAGAAGAATGAACGGTGCGTAAACCAGTGTGCAGAGTTGCATGCATACAGTTGCATGCATACAGTTGCATGCATACATTTGCATGCATGCATTTGCATGCAGTTGATGGTGTTTCTGACGATGATGATAATACGACATTTACAGGAGACTCAGAAGACCTCTTCGGCCGCACAAAGTGCTACGCGACGGACCCCTCGAAGCTGCAGTTGGGTTGGGCTGTCAGGGTGCGTAATTTAGATAAATAAAAAAGAAACATCAGATTATGCCGCTGCTTTCTCTCTACTGTGTTCAGGAAATCCGCGAGGGCGGCGGCAGACCTCCTTCGTTCAAATGGAGTTGTTTCTATGCAGAAAAAGAACATCCAACGAACAGCGAATCTTCTTTTGTTATGTCTGGACACGACTACAAACTGCCATCTCTGCCTCTTCTCTCTTCTCTTTCTGCAGCACCGGATTCCCCGCAGTAAGACGCATAGAAGAGGATTCAAAGCGAGCAACCAAACCTCGAAAACAGCAGCAGTAGACAAGGGTCGTGGAGAGCAGACCCTAAACAATTCATCAATACACCCCCTCAAGAGCTCGCTATGTATAAAAGCCACTTAGGCTATCAGAAATTCCACAGGGCGGTGCAGTACGCACTACCTGAATTTAAACAGCGAGAAGGCGCCTACGGTAAACAAACAAAGCAGAAAAAAACAACACAGGAAAAGGAGAATAAACAAATTCCTCCTCGCCTCACCTCCTACTGTTCTCTCCAGCTACAACGCATAACAACGACAAGCCCTATGCATGCGACATGCCTCTAATGCTGCATGCGGAGGCGGCTGGGGCCCCCTTACCCTCTGAGTGGTGAGTGAAATTAGGCTACGCCGATGCTACGGGCTCTTTAAATGATACTCTTAACACTTGCAGGACCTGGGGGGATCCTTTTCTATCACCAAACTATGACGCAGAAGCAGACCCTGTGCTTAACCAAAGTAAGGGGTTTATTGCATGCTTTCATGCATGCATGCATGCATGCATGCACTTGCATCTGCATGCAGATGAATGCAAGCAGATGAGTGCAGCAGCATATGAAATCCATGCAGAAGCAAATGCAACTGCAGATGCATCTGCATGCAGCAACAACTCAACCATACATCTTCAGGAAACTGCGGCAGCTGCTACGCCGTCTCGGGGGCCTATGTACTGCAGCGTCGCTTTGAAATTCTTTTAAAGAAATTGTTTCCTCGTCTGGAAGCAAAGGAAATCTTCGCCTCGCCCTTATCCCCCCAAACAATTTTAAGTTGTTCTGTGCGTCGTTTTGCCTGTTGTATGCTGATTGCAATATCCCTTCATTTCGTTTATTCTTCTTTTCTTCTTTTTCTTTTTCTTTTTCTTTTTCTTCTTCTTCCTCTTTTCCTTCTTTTTCTTTTCTTTCTTCGTCTTTTTCTTTTTCTTTTTCTTCTTTTTTCTCTTCCTTTTCCTTTTCTTCTTCGTCGTATCCTCCTTCTCCTTTTCCTTTCTTTTTACTTTCTTCCTCTCTTCTTTTGTGTTCTCCTCCTACTCCTTGCTATTCTTCTTTAAGCAGACTCTAGATGTTATTATTTATCTCTCTCTTGCAGCCATTTAATCAGGGATGCGACGGCGGATATCCCTTCCTTGTGGGTAAACACGCGAGAGAAATTGGAGTGGCGACGGAAGACTGTCAGAAGTACACAGCTTCGCACAACCCCACAGATGCGCCCTGCCGTTTGCAGTAAGGCCTCAGTAAAATCTCAAATATATATATATATATCTATATCTATGGATGCATATATATGCATATATATTTGTCTATGTGTCTATATATATGTATATACAAGTATATGTATCTATGTATCTATCTATCTACGAATCAATAAACCCATCAATCCATCACTATATCAACTAATCCATCAATCAATCAATCAAACAATCAATCTATGTTATATATGATGTGCATGCAACGCACATGCACCTTAATAACAAATGCTGCATGCAGCAACAAATGACCTTACTTTCCGCAGCGTTGGCGACTTCCGCCGGTCTCCACCAAACTCTGCGGAGGGCTGCGGCCCTGAGGAACGATGGTAAGCCAAGTGCTTTTAAGGGGGTTTATGCATGCATGCATCCTATTGTAATAATATATATATATATATATATATACAAACACATACTACAATATGCATGCATGCACGTATATAATACAACACACAAATTACAATACTATCCATGAAACCATATTAATCAACATATATATTATTATCTAATATGCACGCATTCAAATTACACAACACATGCTATTTATAACGCACATGCATGCATGCATGCATGCATGCATGCGTATAATATACGTTTCTATTTTTAGGTATGCACAAGACTACCACTACGTAGGAGGTTTTTATGAGGGCTGCGACGAAGAAAAAATAATGCGAGAGATATACAGCCACGGGTAAGGCGGCTGTCTGTCTCTGTTTGTATGGGATAGCATTATAATTAAGATAATTAATAAAGTTATTTTAAATATAAGACATACAACAACACAGCAGCAGATTAATAAACACTTATTCGCTGATTCCCTAGCATTAATCAATCAATTACTTCATCGCTAATTAATTGCATTCTCGTTGTACCTTCAAGTGAAGTTAACGCCAACCTCTATAACATAATTTCTATTAGTTAATTAATTAATTAATTAATTAGTTAATTAATTTAACTGAGGATCTAGCTGGCATAAATTCGCCCGTCTTGTTTCCATATTAGATAATATCCATGTTACTTAAATTATAACGCTATTATATATTTATATATAATATATACACACAGAGTAATAATATATATACTATTTATAATGTATATATGTAATACACATTCACACTTTATAATTATATTGTACATGGTAGATGATATATAATATATTCTCTATTATATATTATATATAAAAGAGAATATATCATCTACCCTCTACACAACATATATATATATATATTTATACATATATATATATGCATATATATATTGATAATATATATATTTCTTTAGGCCTGTTGCTGCTGCCCTTGATGCGCCTGACGCTCTCTTTTTGTATGACGATGGTTTCTTCGACGCGAAGCCTCCACAACACGGAAAACTCTGCGACTCACCAAATAAGGGCTTTACGGGTTTGTCTATTTATTTATTTATTTATTTATGTGTTTATTTATTTATTTGTTTGTTTGTTTGCTGTTGTCCGTCTGCTGCTTTGTTGTTTTGTTTGTTTGTTTGTTTGTTTGTTTGTTGTTCGCTTTCGTCGTTTTGTCGTTTGCTGTATTTGTTTATTCATTTATTTGTTTGTTTGTCCGTTTGCTTTATTTGTTTGTTTGTTTTGTTTGTTCGTTTGCTTGTTGGCGGTTTGTTGTTTTGTTGCTGCAGTTTTTGTTGTTTTGTTCGTTGTTTTGTTGTTCGGTGTTGTCGCTGTTGCCGTTGCCGCTTTGTTCTTAATTATTATTATTATTATTATTGTCATTACTATTATTATTATGGCTGTTATTACTGTTGTTCTTGTTGTTTTGTTTCTATTAGTTGTTAGTGGATTTGTTTATTTTAATGCTTTTTCTCTTAATGTTTTTAATTTTGTTTAAATATGTTTTCATTTTCTTTCAATGCCTTTTTCATCTAAATATCTTTTTATTTTTTTTTATACATGCGTACACAGGCTGGGAGTACACCAACCACGCGATAGCGATCGTAGGTTGGGGGGAGGATCCGTAAGTCTATCTTGAGGTGTACATACACCGCAAAGTCAGAAATATATTTCTTTTTTTTTAAAAACAAACTTCTCCAGCCCCAGAATGCCTGGTATGGCGCCCCGCAAGTTCTGGGTTGTACGCAAGTAGGTTTAAACAAACAAAAAATTAAAGTACATGTATGCTTGCATGCGGATGTCGATACATGTATGCATGCATGCATGCATGCCTATGTGTATGCATGGATTCAGCACTAAAGAGAAACTTTGAACTTATTATTTTTTCTGTTTCCAGCACGTGGGGTAATGACTGGGGGAGAAACGGATATGTGAAGATGAAGAGAGGAGAAAATCTCGCAGCCATTGAATCGCAAGCAGTAGCAATAGACCCTGATTTAAAAAGAGGACGAGCCGCTGCGCTCCTCCAGCAACTAAGAGCTCAAGATATACACAATGAAGCATAATCAGCTGCATGCATGTATGCATGCATGCACACACGCATGCATGCATGCATGCACGCGTTCATGCGGCTGAGGGAAGGATTAAAAAAAAGAATGCTGGGCCCCTAACAGCAGCAGCACCTACGTCGTTCGTAGCAGATTAGCGGTGGCAGTGCCGGCTGTCTATACACCTGATGCTCTCCAGGCGCGCTGCTATCAAATAGGAGCAGCATCATTATAAAAAGAAAAACAAAAGAATAAGAAGAAGAAACAACAGAAGAAAAAGAAGAAGATTGGTTTTGTTTACTCAGGCGCATATAGGCGAGGAGGACGCCAGCATTTTGCCTCATATAAACTCCATATTATATTTTATTGCATTAAAAACACAACAAATTATAGTTAAAATAATATTAATTATTGTTTTTTATTGATAATTTGCTGAAGACAAGCTACTCGAAGACGCAGAGTGTGGGGCCCGCAGCCGACAGCTGGGGAGGCGCTGCTGCGTTTTTCTTGTGAAAGAAATAATTTATATATAGTTTATATTTAAAATTAATCAAAAGTAAATAATTAATTATTCAATATGTAGACATTGGCGTTTATTTCCTTCTTTTTATTTCTCGGCCTCTGCCTCCCGCTGCCGATACACCGCAAGTTTGTGATGTCTTCTTCTTTTCTTTTTTTCTTTCTCTTCTTTGCATTTATATCTCTTTCTTTTAGATGCAGCGGAAGTACTTTACAGCCTTGTCTGCATGCAACGCCTCTGGGGTGTACAGGCAGCTCCTCTTTCTTCTTTAGGTCTTTGCATTGCGCTGGTGAGCAGCAGCAGCAAAGACAGAAGACAGCAACAAGCAGCAAAGGATCTGTGGGGCCCCTCCTCTCTTCTTCCTTCTCCAATCAAGCTGCAGCAACAGAAGCAGAGACTGCTGTCTCTCTGCTGCAGCAGCAAAACCCTCTGTCTCCATCTGTAGAGACTGTCTCCTCTGCACCTCAAGCCCTGCAAGCAGCGGTGCTTCTGCCTTTATTCAGAATTCCTCTTGCTGCAGCAAAAGACAGCAAAAACTACAAAAAGCAGCGGCTGTCGTTGGCTTTCTGTCTAGGGGGATGGGGGCCCCCAGACTGTCGTTATTGGGGCCCCACCCCTCTCCCTGAGGGGTCTCCTCATAATCGCCTTCAATTAAAACAAAGGCGTTCTGCGGCTGCTGCTGTTCTCTATCGTTTTCTGCTGCTGCATGCTTGCAGCACTTGTGCTGTTGCTGCGGGGCTTGCTGCGAATGCCTTTCTTTCTCGACGTGGGGTGTAC